AACACAACCCTAACTAATCAGTATCTCTTCATAGAGATGCATTGAATCATTGCATCTTTATTAGGACAATTCAGTGTCTCCATGCAGAGGGTGAAGACCCTAATTGGCAGTTTTGCAGGAAGCTCCTCTAGTAGCTATCTGAGGAGTGGTCAGTGGAGGTATCCCTGGGTTGTAATGTGGTCAGTGGAAATATAGGCTGTAATGTAAACACTGCATTTTCTCTGGAAAAAGTGTTTGCTGCAAAAAGCCTGAAGGGAATGATTATACTCACCAGAACAAATACAATAAGCTGTAGTTATTCTGGTGACTATGACTTTTTTTTCCCTCTTTCATAAGTCTTGCATTCAAGAGAAATTTTCAGTTTTCTAAAACCAGCTAATATGGATTCCTGCCATGTGTTGTTGCTTGGGTTTTTTTTTTTGCTTTAGTTCAGTTGGAGGGTATGTATTGATACCCGCATTTGTTACACATGTGTTTCGCAATGTGCTATAAACAAAATCTAATTGACAGGATTATTTGGCCAGTGGTGTGCATGTGCAGTTTTTTTGCAAGGCTTCTCGATGAGAAGTGTCTGAAAAGTCTTTGCTGGACAAAACAGGGGGGAGGCTCTGCAGTAGCTGCAGATACTGTTCATCTAATGAAAGCTAACTTTTTCATTACCCCTAAAATAAAGTATATCAAAGTATGACATGGAGATTCCGAATAGTTTGTGGACTTCTCCCAGAAGTTTGGTCTAGAACACACTTGCTGTGAAAAATGCATACAGATGTATGAATAATACACAAACCTGCAAAGCCAAAGTAAAATGATTGTTGGATGGGTTAGAACAATTTAAAAAAAATAACAGTATCAAATGTTATCCTTGTTTCTCTTGTTGCTTTACATTCATAAAAGGTGCTTATATACTCTTTGGTCATGAAACTGGTATTGGGTTGCTGTAACTCAATGTAAATACTGGTGTACTAATGAAATGTATCATAGTGTTCTGTATGAATGGTTTGCTGACCAACATTCTAGTGACCCAAATAAAGGGGACACTGCCATGGGTGCCCAAAATGTAAGATTCTCAAATTGTTTAGTACAAGATCATGACTTTTGCAATTCTAAAGGCTGGCAAAGCATCATGGGAGTTGCATTTCTGCAACATGTGCAAGCTACCATATGAACACTGCCATTTTTGTTGTTGAAGAAAGAACTTTGCATTCAGTATAGTTCCTCTTCCTTTTGAACTTGGATTGATGTTTGGATAGACATTTCACTTTATTACAGTAGAGTACACCAGGAATACAGAGATAAAATTGGAAGAGTTACATTATAATATATACATTTACATCTATAAAATATATTACTATGGATGTGAGAGACGTTTCATACTTTTCCATTTTTTCTTTTAAATAAATTTTCGTATGAGAGTGGCAATATGAATCTGTGCTTGGAATCATTAATTCATTGACACGTTAATTTCTTCAAGTTTCACAATCTCAGCCAACTTGGGGTTTCTATGGGCATTCATCTGTACTTGGCACAGCCCATTCATTTGTCGGTACTGACAGGCTCTCCAGTCCCTGCAGAAAAAACTTCCTCACACAATGCACTGTCTTCCACATTCTGTTACACAGTTGGGATGCTTTTTTTCTTTTATGATGTTTTGCTTGCACCATATGTAAAGCTTGGAATTTAGTCTGTCACTATTTTTGGCTGCCTAACTACAATTTATTTTCTCTCTGTGTGCAAACATTTAAACCATCCTGCAGCATTTTATTTATTTAAGAAGGGAAGCTTTTAAATAAATAATTTTGTGCTGCTATTTCCATTCTTTCCATTTATGGCATGGTGCAGTGTGTGCAATAGTGGGCAAAATACTTTTTTAATCTGTTTATTTCAGCTGTATGAGATCTAAGCCATTTGCGCACATGTGAATTTTTTTATTTTTTTTTTATAGTGTCAAAATGACTAATTTTGGTAGCCTTTTTAGAAAAGGTCTCTCTATGCATTCTATGTTACTTTGGAACAAAGAGTATAGTGATCTAGTTCTGCAGTTTATGCCCCTTAAATTTGGTTTCCCTACTGGCACTGTATTTGATTGCTGGACTAACATTTTCTCGAGTACTGTCCTTAAGAGATGAAACAGGTGTTTTAGCTGCCCTGTTCAGTGGATAACAAGGTCCCACTGCCCAGGTAACGCAGCAATCACTGTTCTAAACCAGTCACAAACTCTGCAGTCAGAGTCGAAGTCAGGGTTTATTTTCTTTAATAAAGTAAGCCTAAATTATATCTATGATACATAGCCACCTAGTGGCAGCAACAGAGGCAGTGTCTCAATTAACTGCTTCATTGTAGTGTAATCTAGGTCATTCATATAATGTAGGTATTTGTTTTTACTCTCCACATTCCTTATGGTGTGAGAGGTGGAGAGACTTGGAGTAATTCTTCTTCCCATTAAGCCCCTGGATTAGTTTTTCTTGTGGCAGGCACTAGGTTGCCGTATGATTACTAAAGAGGTACAAAATAAATTTCAACCCACAATCCTAAATTTACAAATGCATTTTTAAGGTTTATATATTTTTTTTCTTTATTAGTTTTTGATTTTGTGTATAATGCATCAAGACATGTCAACACATTAATTCAGGTCAATACATCAATGTATAACACTGCATATTAACAACAGTAGTATTTTCAGATCCTATACCAGTGGTAGTCAACCTTTTTCTAACAGACAGGCACACATACATACATATACACACACACACACACACATAAAGACACATACATACAAACAGACAGGCACACATTACACACACAGACAGGCACACATACAGACACACATACATACACACATACATACACACACACATATATACAGATAGAGACACACACACACACACACTCACAAGACATACATACAAAGACATATACAAACAAACACACACAAAATATTTTAGTCACCCTTCTGTTTCCTACCTTTTAGGTGCAGGAGGGTGACTTTCCCTGGGGTCCAGTGGTGGCTCAGGTGCATGGGAGTCAGAGTTCCTACTCTGACTCCCTTGTCTTCCTCCCGCGCGGTCTGTGTGTTAGTTGGGAGGAGTGACGCGCAGTCACTTCCTCCCAGCTCTGTGATGTTAAAGCGTCCAGCGCTGACCGGGCCCCCTCTTAATCCACATCCATCGGGTGGATTAAGCATGGGCCACCCGATGGACTCCTTGTACAGCGGCCCCGGTGGCGGTACCCGGTCGCAGGGGTACCGCCGGCTCGCCCTCCCTCCAACTCAATCTCTGAAATCCCTACCGCCCACCTCGAATGTTTTTAGGGTTTATATTCTATTATAATGTAACTCTACAAGAAAACTGATATAGACATTATACTTTTGGTTGGTACTTCTCGTTAAATCAAATTTACCCTGGTCTGCAGAGTAGGTAATTAAAGTTTTAAAGGAACACTATAGTGTTAGGAATACAGCTTTCTATTCCTATCACCATAGTGTCCCTCTGCCCCAGAGCTCCCCGTGGCTCAAAGGTTTAAAACCTTTAAAACCATACCTGGTTACAGCGCCATGGTCCCTTTTGCTCTGGCTCTGTCTCCACCTCCTCTGACATCAGCTCGAGGGGGAGCCTAATGTGCATATGTGTGAAATTTCGCACTCTATTAGGCTTTCCAATCGGGATTTTGAAAATGCTGGACGTCCTCATGCAAAGCGTGAGGCTGTCCACCGTCATTTCATGGAGTTAAACTAGACCCCTGCAATGTAAATATTGCAGTTTCTCTAAAACGGCAATGTTTTCAGCTGCAGGGTTAAGGGCACCGGGACACTGTACCCAGACCACTTCAATGAGCTGAAGTGGTCTGGGTGCCTACAGTATCCCTTTAACTTACTAGTCAGTAAAGCTTTATTTAAATCAGTTTTAAAGGTAAATACTCATTCTTGCTGGGGTTTTATGAGCATTTACATCTGCAAGTAGATGAAAATTTCAAATTTAGAATAACTTTTGAGATTTTTTTTTTTTAATTCTTTATTTTTATTGTGCAGGTGGGTACAGAGTATAGTCATGCGCCACAGCAGTGTTCAATAATATGGTAACATAGTAAGATTAAACAGTGGCTTTAAAAACTTGCACTTTTTGTTTAAAGGTATGGAAAATTAAGTAGTTTTCTCTATGCATTAACAATCTATTCGCCAGTATATATGCTTGTAGCATCCTAACTGCTCTGGCACGTAGAATTACACTTATGAGAGGAAACAGTGATCTAGCAGGAACATGCTGACTATTGTGATAGAAAAGGACTGGTTACTCGCTGTTTGCCCTGTTGCTCCAGAGGCTATTTCACTCTTTGTAAGTTAACATGCTTGCAACCGGTATGTCTCTGAATAAGTGCCTTAGAGTTAACACTTGGTAGGTCACGTTATGGTGAGGTAACCAGGTCTTAGACATAATAACAACAAAAGATAAAGCTTGAACTGATAGCATAAATGCCTATAGGACCTAACATGCTATGCTAGTGTCTATGTTAGATCAAGTGTTATATATGGGTGTGCGTATTGAGTGGCAACGTAAAGTTAATCATAAGCATTTGCATCAATATCTGTTACTGTCGCTTTAGATCTTTAAGGTGAGACAGCTTAAACATGGTAAACCACGCTAAATGCGACAACACTGTTAGTCTTAATTATATATAGATGCGAAATCTGCATTGTATCTACTGCAGGCAGATCTAATCTACAGTAACACAGGTTAGGTATAATGTTGAGGCTCATTACAAGTGTGATCGTATGCTGGCTTTGCATTTATAAGATAAACTCCAATTATAACGGTGCATGGCTTAAGAGCCTTTATGTAAAGCTATGTCAGCGTGAGAAGAAAGTTAAAAAAGACATAGCTAGCAAAAACATTTAAGCATCAACTGGTGGCAAAGAGAACTGGGTCAGTTAGCCATACAGCACTGGCAATGCAGGAGTGATCTGCCCTGGCAGTAAGCCTGGCATGCCAGTACAGTCAAGCAGTCATTCAACCAATTCCCTGGCTGGGCTGTAAGCTTCCATGTGAAGACAGTTCATGCAGGGTTGCCAGTGGCCCGTCAGGCGACAGGTGCGGTATAGTTGGTGTTTGCTGGTGCGTACTGGATCGTCTGGAGGGTCTGGGCTTCACACACCGGGCCTTGCCGATGTCTAAGGGATTACGTTTTGGTTCCCTCACAGGGTATCCCTTGCGCTGCAGCAGGGTCTTTTCTCCAAACGGGTTAAGACCGAGGTATTGCCGCTTGCGCCAGAGTTTCTGCTTTGTACTTTGTGTTGCCGCGTAAGGATCTCCTCTGTGCTGCTTGCTTTTATTGATTTGCCTGAGCCGTGTGTGTGGATGGCCCGGCGGGAAGCGAGGCTTCTTCACCTTCGGTGGCGTTGATCGGGCGCCATGGCGCTGGGCCGATGACCACCGGTTTGGCTGTAGTGTCTGCTCAGGAAGGTCAGTACTGTGTGGTGGGGCAGGTAGATATAGCCTGCGCTCCAGCTGCTTCCAGAACCTTTTAAAATATCTGTGGCTCCTCGCCAGGACATCTTGTGCAGCATCAGTGGGGCTCTCGGCTTCTGTAATTTCTGCCATCTTAAGTGAAGCTCTATGTTCTTGCTTTGCCCACGAGGCGGCCTGTGTTGCTTTGGCTCGCCATGGGTCATCTCCGCTGGGTGGACCGGGATCTCCCCCACCGGTCCAGAGGGGGGGGGGTGGTGGTAACGGGGCTTGCTCATATTATATGTATCGTCGGAGCATCTTTGGGTCGGGAGCGCGGCCGTCTCTTCTGCCCGTTGTGAGCTAGGCCGCACTGTCAGTCGCGGTACCAGCAGATCTTGCGCGGGTCTCTTACCCTCCCACTGCATACCCTCTGTGGCAGGGAGCTTATGTGAGTGTGGTATCGTTGTTCGTTTCGCTGGGTACCGTCTTAGATCGCCTATATCGCTATAGTTTAGCGGGAGCCCTTGAGAGACACGTCTCGTCGCCATGATGGTTAGGCCCCGCCCCAACTTTTGAGATTTGTTTAAGCATTCAGAATAGATTTTCTTATACACCATGCATATACTATGCATAAGGTAGACCATTAAATTATTGCTAGGTGAACTATCTCCACTTTAACAGGTTAATCAATTATATTTGCGAAAACAACTAAGGCTGTGCATTGTGTGTACTAAGAATGTGCAGAATAACAATGGGATTGAGGTATTTTTCTGAAATTTTTTTTTTTTTTTTTTTTTAAACATGTTTGCTGTGCATGTTATCTCTGCAGAGCTATAGCAAATTTTTCCAATGAACCTTAAATGGAAAGTATAGTCACCAAAACCACTCGTGCTTAATGGAGCAGTTTTGATATATAAATTCATGCCCTTGCAGTCTCAGCTCATTCTCTGCCATTTAGAAGTTAAATCACTTTGTTTATGCAACCCTAGCCACACCTCCCTGCATGTGACTCTCATAGGCTTCCTAAACACTTCCTTTAAAGGGAGATCTAATTTTTACATTTTTTTTTTAACTTTTATTACACAGTCTGTTTAATTTGAAATGTCTTATCTCACAAAAGTGATTTAACTCCTAAATTGAGCAGTGAAACTGTAAGGGGATGATCTATACACTGCTTCATTAGAGGAACACTATAGGGTCAGGAACACAAACATGTATTCCTGACCCTAGAGTGCAAAACGTATGATTTAGGTGGCTTGCACCCTCCCCCCACCCCCTTAAGTTATTAAAACTCACCTTATTTCAATCAATGCATCTCTATGAGGAAAATTCAGCGTCCCCATGCAGAGAATGGAGACGCTGAACGGCAATACTGCCTACTATGCAGCACTGAGCCAGGAAGCACCTCTAGTGGTCATCTGATTGGCCACTTGAAAGGTGTCCCTAGGGCCAATGTAAACACTGCATTTTCAATGAAAATGCAGTGTTTGCATGAAAATGCCTGCATACAATGATTATACTCACCAGAACAACTACATTAAGCTGTGGTTGTTCGGGTGACTATAGTGCCCCTTTAAGCTAACGTTGTTTTAAAACCTATACCCTATAGTGTCCTTTTTAAGTGTTTATCTATAACAAAAAAATAGTATATTGAATTAAAAAAAAAAAAAAGTGTCACAAACTATTGAAAAGGATTTTGGGCCCTTAAAACAACTTTATATCAGGTGGTGTTTTTAAATTGTTGCCTTTGGTTCCAGTAATATGCTGAGAATGACTGGACTGGACACACATTGTGCCGAAAAGGTAGATCCCTAGATGTTTTAAAACTACAGCTTCCATGATGCTTAGTCATTCTAAACACATGCAACGCATCATGGGAGTTGTAGTTCTACATCTGGACATCTACCTTTTGGCCACCCCTGGACTAAAGTAATACTGATCTTAGGCTTGGTTTTTATTTATTTCAAAGACATTCAGAACTGCATTTGTGAGCATATTATGTGGATTTTTTATTGTCTTTAAATTAACTTTCCCTTTTGACTTTCCAGGTAACTCATTGTGTCACCTGTGATTGCTAATCCTACTTCTTGCGAGCATTGGTAAAACCAGTGACGAGTACAAAAATGATCACCTCGGAGCTTTCAGTTTTGCAGTAAGTACAGAAGATTACCTTTCATATATGCAAGGATACAGAACTGTGTTTACCATATTCCTTGTGATACATACATTCCAGTGAATGTCCTGTCAATATGTTTACTTTTCCTGGTGTACAAATAAGTTAAATCTTTTACTTGGTTTTATTTGGTATATAGCATATTAGCACTTGGAACCCTACATTAATAACTCATTATTGAATGACACTATTCTACTATGCATTTCCTTTGCATTCATTAGAAGTAATTCTAAATTGACAAATGTTCCATTTTTTTTCTTCCATATCTATCAAAATATTGGTCCTGTTAATTTAGGATTTGAACTGTAGACTACGTCAATACTTTGTCAATCATTTTACCTGGCTTTGCATCAAAGGAGACACAGTGTACAAAAGTTGGGAAAAATATAAACAAAATAAAATCCATGTAAAGTTCTTAAAAGAATCTATATAATTATACTTTTATAATATAGAATTTTACTTTTTATTTAGGGATTCTACAAATGAAAGCTCAGCTGTACACACGGACATGACAGCAGTTACAGAAATGAGCACAGAACTTGTAGAAGATATTGAGGTTAAAGGAAAGCGAAAGAGAGGCCGCCCTGGAAGACCGCCGGTATGTAACAAATCCACTCTTTCTTCTCCCACAGTTTCCATACACCCAGTATGCAGTGCAACACTGGACATTGTAAATGGATGACCATTTTGTATTGTCCTTTCGCTTTAGCTTTCATTTCCTGACCCGTGGAATTGAGATGACATTGTTAATTTGTGTGATTGGGTTACAATGAGCATACCTTCCCCCTCCCCCACCAGTTTGTTTTTTGGTTGTTTTTTTCTGAGATATTTGAATTTGATAGGAACTCCTGGGGAAGGACAGAGTTAAGAGCTGGATAGCTTCTACCTAGTTTACTTTAGGTATCACCTAGGGGATACACATTTTATCCTAAAGTTATCAGTTCTTGCAGCCCAGATTTAGCGATTTGTTTGAACTTGTTTTGACTTCTGAGGGTGCGCTGTTAGTACTACTATTTAATATCCTTTGTGAACCCAAACGCTTTGACATTTAACGTGAACTTCTAACAAAACCCCATCACGTTCTTTGCAGTGTATATATTTTCTTGTTTTAGATAAGCCCTAATTACCTTTTTTTATGCATTTACATTTTAAGTGTTTTAGTATATTTTAGTAGGACTATAGAATTCTGAAATCTATTTTGTTTTTCAGTCTGCCATCAAGAAACCAAGGAAAACTCCTGGTGAACGGAGTCGTGGCGAACCAGGTGTTAGAGGTCGTGGGAGAGCTAATGGACATCCTCAGCAAAATGGAGAGGGAGATCCCGTAACCCTGTTTGAAGTTGTAAAGATAGGAAAGAGTGCCATGCAGGTTAAAAAAAATGCACTATATGTTTTAAGTATTTAGAATTATCTTAAAAGGAGACTCTAGACTGGGAGGGCCACCATATATTTTTTTTTTAAAACTAACTCCGGCAAGCTGAAGCAGCAGACTGCCCCCTACCTGAACATGAAGGGACTCCACTAACCAAGAATCTCTAATTCTTACCAGTCTTCTGATCTGAAACTCGTCATATGAATGGTAGTGCTCAATAAGTTAATAGCAGCTTTGTTCAGTTTTATGTACTGGGCTGTAGACAGCACTCTCTTCAACTACTCTCTTCTGACCACTAGCACCAAGCCACAGCTTGGGATCTGAGAGCTAGTAAGGGAAGGTCTATCCTATCTAAATACAAGACTTGGACAGCAAAGGAAGGAGGAGAAAATCCTCTGAAATCAGAGGTAGAATGGGAGCATTGCTGTATAGGGGCAGTTACCTATTTGCACCACGACCTATGGAATGTCTCTGGTTTTATTGAAATAAAGGTATAAAACTAAAAGCATTCAGCAAGTGGTTAATAGGATGCAAAATATAGTCATAAAAACCTTGGAATAAAAAAAAATTCTGATCCAGGGGGAAAAAAACGTGTATGGTCAGCAACACAAGGTTAATAACAAGCAATATTAGGTTGATACAGGTTACATGTGTAATTGAAAACATACTGCTTAATATTGCCAGTATTTAAGCAAATAAACAGTAATTAAGTGTTTGAACAAAAGTCTGGTATTGAAGATCTAAAGTACAATCATAGGATGGGGCATTGTATACAAAATTTGTTCTCTGTGCTGGGGTGCTCTCATTTATATTCAATTACAGACTCTATTCAAAAGTATGAAGCTGTTTGGATTTGAATGTATAGATTTATTGCTACCTTACTTGCAAGCAAAATAAAGTTATTTTGTTTCTTCGACATGTTCTATGCTTTATGTATTATTTTTAATAGTTCTTTTAAGTTTGTCCCTTTCAGGCATTCTGAAATGGACTTTATAAAAAAAAAAAAAAAATGTTCAGTTCTTCTTAATATAAACTTTGCTTTCACTATAATCTATTCCATAATTATGCCTTTTTATGGGAGGATCAAAAGTTTAAGGTGTTTCTTTTTTTTTCCGTCTAAGTAAGCAAAAAAAAAAAAATATATATATAAATATATATATATATATGTGTGAAAGAAAACATATTTAATAATGCAGCCAACATCCAACTTATAGTTAAACTGTATTGATATTTATTGATATGCACATAACCTGTCAATAACAGGTTAAAATCTTATTTTGGGCCACATTAATTTAAGCATTGTTTTTTTTGTTTTGTTTTTTACAGTCTGTAGTTGATGACTGGATTGAATCATATAAACAAGACCGAGACATTGCCCTTTTGGACCTGATAAACTTCTTCATCCAGTGTTCAGGGTGTAAAGGTACGTTACACCTTCACATGGTTTAGATTTACTTTCTTCCAGCTTCTGGGAGTAGACCCAAAGATGGTTCTTACTAGTGATTATTTAAAACTCTGTTCCTGTTTGTTGTGATCTAAAGAAATCAACTTAAAGGACCACTATAGGCACCCAGACCACTTCAGCTTAGTGAAGTGGTCTGGGTGCCAGGTCCAGCTAGGTTTAACCCTTTTTTTTTATAAACCTAGCAGTTTCAGAGAAACTGCTATGTTTATAATAGGGTTAATCCAGCCTCTAGTGGCTGTCTCATTGACAGCCGCTAGAGGCGCTTCGGCGATTCTCACTGTGATTTTTACAGTGAGAAGATGCCAGCGTCCATAGGAAAGCATTGTGAATGCTTTCCTAAGGACTGGCTGAATGCGCGCACGGCTCATGCCGCCCGTGGCTGGAGAAAGGTCAATTTAACCCCTTCCACCCCCTAGAGCCCTGGGGGTGGGGGGCACCCTCAGGGCACTATAGTGCCAGGAAAAAAAGTATGTTTTCCTGGCACTATAGTGGTCATTTAAAGTAAACCAATTTATTTTGTAAAAATATATGCATGCATTTGTTTGGAAGGACAGTGTGAATATATAAAAATCCTTATTAGATGCCATATAGCACCTATCAATTAAATTGTTCTAAAACTGATACCTTATTTCAATATAGATGTATTTTTGTTGGCTCTAACACACTCTGTTAGGAGTAAGTATGCGTGTGTGTATATATATATATATATATATATATATTTATTTATTTTTTTTTTTTAAATCTTTTTGTGTACAGGTACAGTAAGAATTGAAATGTTCCGAAACATGCAAAATGCAGAAATCATTAGAAAAATGACAGAAGAGTTTGATGAGGTATGTCGCATGATTCTTAATTACAGTGAGTTTATTAAGATATCCGCAGTCAGACTCTGGACCCCTTTATCAAAAGAAGGTTTTATGTACAATGCGATGAAGGCAAAATATAGTTCTGGAAAACTGATGCTTTTTCTGTGCAAACTCTGCAGTGGACTAGTCTTTGTAGCAGTGACTTCTGAGACCTGCTGTTTTCTTAGACAGCCATACAAAGCAAATTAAATGTACTTTGCTTCCCTTTGCAGCACATAATTTCATAATTTTAACATAAGCTGCAAAAAGTGTACTTCAATGATTGCCATGTTTTGTTCTATTTTAAATGCTGCTTTAGACTTAATATTTGGTCCATTATAGATAATTGGTGAACTTAAAACATTTACTTAAAAGGTTACTTATTCTTAAAAACATTTGACTTTTCAGAGGAAAAAAATATCGAGAGGACTGTGTTTTTATTTAATCCAGAATCAACATCATCTTGGGGGAAAAAGGGGAAATCTAATTTTTTTATGACAATACCTTTAAATGCCCACTTAATTTTCAATGGCTGCTTTTTTTGGTCCAGTCTTATGAATTCGATATGTAAAAAATAAATGTGATGTGTAAGTACATGGCCAGGTGTAACCAGGCTTTTCCTGATTTAATTTCCTTCCAGGATAGCGGAGATTATCCTCTGACAATGCCTGGCCCTCACTGGAAAAAATTTCGCTGCAACTTCTGTGAGTTCATTGGTGTGCTAATCCGGCAGTGTCAGTACAGCATTATCTATGATGAGTACATGATGGATACAGTCATTTCACTGCTGACAGGTCTATCTGACTCCCAGGTCCGAGCGTTCAGACACACAAGCACACTGGCTGGTAAGAGTTAATTTATTGTATTGTCCTCTCTTACACCAGACAGTGCTCTGATTTTGTGCTACAGTTTTCTAATGTTACGTATTATGGTGTCTTGCAAATTATCATCCTCATTTTATACAATTCTCTGTTGGTCAATAAACTCCTGTTTAGATCATATTCATTTAACTGAAATTTGTATGGACAGAACTGCAAAAATCCTCCAACTCTACAATTGTGACATCTCTGTCTTTTGAACCTGAAGTTTGCAGTTTGGATTTACATTAACTACAATATAGTATTTAGCAAATTAACCCCAATGTCTTACATGGAAAGGAATGTGAAATTGCAATTAAAGGACCACTATAGGCACCCAGACCACTTCAGCTTAATGAAGTGGTCTGGGTGCCTGGTCCATCTAGGGTTAACCCTTTTTTCTATAAACATAGCAGTTTCAGAGAAACTGCTATGTTTATGTTAGGGTTAATCCAGCCTCTAGTGGCTGTCTCATTGACAGCCGCTAGAGGGCTTCCGCATTTCTCACTGTGAAAATCACAGTGAGAAGACGCCAGCGTCCATAGGAAAGCATTATGAATGCTTTCCTATGGACTGGCTGAATGCGTGCGCAGCTCCTGCCGCGCATGCGCATTCAGCCGATTAGGAGAAGAGCTCCCCGCACGGCGCTGGAGAAAGAGGTAAGTTTAACCCCTTCCTCCCCCCAGAGCCTGGCGGAGAGTATGTTTTCCTGGCACTATAGTGGTCCTTTAAATACAGCAGCTATAATGATGTCGCCAAAGTAAAGCAACACTAATACTGTATTCTGAAGAGAGGCTAGGCCAAGTAGGTTGTTGGCTTGTTGTATTCCTCCACATTTGCTAACAATCTGCTTTGATTGGGATTTTACACACGCCAAATCTCCCCCAATGCTTCTTTAATACTTCTCCTGTGTATTTTACAAACACTGAGTTTGTTTGCATTGTCCAGAGGGCTATCTTCCAGTCAAATGTTCAATGGTCAATTATTTGACTTGTGCAATAAAATGATTTAGTGCTTCTGGCTTTGTTGTAGGGATCGACCGATATTGATTTTTTAGAGCCGATACCGATAATCTGTGAACTTTCAGGCCGATGGCTGATAACTTTACGATATTCTGTACATTTACCATTTTGAAAAAAAAAAACTATTTCTTAAGATAAATGAACAAAATATACATGCCTCATGTTGTGGATGCAGTGTGTTTAGATAGGGGAGCTGTGTGTTTGTCTGGTGGATGCAGTGTATTTGTGTAGTGTGTATATCATGAATGCAGGGTGTGTGTGTGTGTGTGTAGTGAATGTGGTGGGTAGTGTGTGTGTGTAGTGAATGTAGTGAGTGTGGTGGGTAGTGTGTGTGTTTCTGAAGGGTTGTAATTTGTGCAAAATTATTTTATTTTTAATATTTGTGTTTTATTTTATTTTTTGTTCCCCCTCCCTGCCTGTTTCCTGGCAAGGGTGGGGGGCTATGGCATCCCCTGGTGGTCCAGTGGCATGTACTAAGCAGTGGGGGCCCGCAGCAACCTACTACTTACCTTTCCCGCAGCTCCCCTGGGTAAATCTCGCGTGGCAACACTCTGACGGCTGCGGGACTCGTGAGATTTACACAGGGAGCTGCTGGGAAGGTAAGTAACAGCTTGCTGCCGGCCCCCCCAGGACCGCCGGGCTTGTAATGAGCCCAGCGGTCCTGGTCTGTATTATCGGCAATATCAGTATCTCTATTGGCCGATACTGATATTGCTGAGAATACCGAATATCAGCCGATAATCGGTCGATCCCTACTTTGTTGCTTAACATTTTTTGTGCATAGTGTGTTACAAAGAATGTTTGACTGTTGATTAGCTACCTATTTCCATTCTGTCATTAATGTCAACATACTTCACTGACTGGTACTGATGCACACGTTGTCAGGTTTAACTTTTTGTTTTCCTGCTGGCAACCCTGTTAACTTCCATGGATATATTTATTAGTACTTGACACACTTCAATAACCAAATGCATTCTGCTTCTACTGTTACATTGATATTCGTGACAAAAACGTGAGAGTTTATCACGTGACCCAGTGCACCTAATAATGAACGGATTGTTTTGTTTAAAACAATCAGATGGCAGATCCTCCATATCTACTCGGCATATAATTATAGTTGTGTTAACTAGAAAACCAAAAAGAAACACAAATATTATTGAAATCACATTTTGAAGTATATTGACAGTGCTCGTTTGTAACTGTATTTAATGTACAGTAAACTAATGTATGTTTTCTTAGTTCTGCACACTTGCCCCCTTTAACACGGCCTTTCAAGGACATTTGCATCTGTTTATAATTTATTCCCTGAAGGAATTCCTGTCTAGTGGCTCATAGCTGTAATTCTGCCAAGAAGAGCTCTTCATCCATTACTGGAGAATAAGGCTGGATGTACATTCTTGCATCACCCACAGCACATTGGGTGATGGAATCAAAAGTTTTTTTTCTCTCTACTCCCTTTGCTTATTAGCTGCAGATCAGTCTTAAGCCTTATATTGGGGTAACTCATGGGGTAATGGAATAGAGGAGACTGTTAAGAAGGTCCCTCTTGGCTGGTGGGTGGTTAAAGGAACCCCATCTTATTTTTTCCCCATCCCCAAAAATTGATGATTGGTTTCTCTTCAAAATTGTAGAGGTGTACATTTTCGTGAAAAGACAAAGGGAGATCTAGGGGTTCATTTTTCACATTTCTATTTCAATTGGTTTTGCCTAAATATGCTAAAACTTCAGTTATTGCCCGGCACCCGAGAAAGTTTTGAATAGCTTGGTAGGTTCCTTATGAGTACATTAAATCTTGCATGTGTTATCAATAAATGCAAATATTTTGGGGTTTTTGACTTCTGAAAACTTCTTCATATAACATTCTATCTCCTCAAATGATAACATGATTCTGGGTGAATTAATTGCCATTAAAAACTGACTAATTTTAATAGGAATGCAATGTGATTTAAATAATACTCTCAACAGGTGTGAGGGTATTCAAATTTGAAATTGTGTGGGAGGGGGTAGTCTTAAAGAAATGTCCATCTAATGAAAAGCCAAAGTAATTTCTGGTCATTAGGTACTTTTCTTTTTTTTTCCTTTTTCTTTTTTTTTACATATCTGAGTGCGTCTTACTTGACCTATGCAATATAAATGTGTACACAGTCTTGCTCTTTTATTGTGTGTTAGTTCTTGAAGGCATTATGTATTTCTGTTCTACACACTGTATACTAGATGTTGACTACTTATTCCACTTTTTATATTTGACCTTAATGTTTCTCAATGGTCAGGTTTTATTTTGCAGGTAGTTTTTAACTTGAAATCGATTTGTCCACGCTGAGCTAGTGCTTTACAATGTAACTTCTCTATTGTGATAGTTATTCAGGATATAATACAGTTATCAATTTCTTTAGGTTGCTGCCCCACACTGGTAAACTTTATAATTTGTACTGTATTTCCTTCTGTAGTTCATTTAGCGAGCAGTTGAAATAGTATATTCTCTGTGTGAGGTCCACAATTATAGTTTATGTAGCAACGCTTTACAATATTAAAGCGGGATTTTTGAAAAAAAGTGTTTTGTTTTGTTTTTTAATTTTTTATTGAGATGGCATACAACAAATGAATTACATTGATCAGCAACAACATTAAAACCACTGACAGGTGAAGTGAATATCATTGATTATATAATCACAACGAAAATGGGCAAGTGAAAAGATCTGAGTGACTTTGATAAGTGCCAAATAGTGATGGCTAGACCACTGTTTCAGAGCATCTCTAAAACAGCAAGTCTTGGGCGTTTTCTTGCATGCAGTAGTTAGTACATACTCAAAGTGGTGCAAGACGTGTTCATGGGCATTCAATGCTCATTGATACACATAGGTAATGAAGGCTAGCCCATCTGGTCCGATCACACAAAAGAAAAAAAAAACTTAATGCTGGCCATGATAGAAGGTGTCAGAACACACAGTGCACCTCCGTATGCTGCATGTGAGGTCAGTGTGCCCACGATGATACCGGTCTAACATTGAAAGCACCTTCAATGGGGACGTGAGTGTCAGAACTGTGTTCCCGAATAGCAGTGACCTCTTTCAGCAAGGTAATCCACACTGCAAGAAATGTTCAGAAATGGTTTTAAGATCATGTCAAAGAGCTCAAGGTGTTGCCTTGGCCTCCAAATTCCCTATATATCTGATTGAGCATCTGTGAGATGTGCTGGGACAACAAATCCCATCCAAGGAGGCCCCACCTCTCAAAGGACCTGCTGCTAATGTCTTGGTGCTAGTTACCACAGGACACATTCAGGGGTCTTGTGCAGTCTATGCCTTGACACATCAGAGCGGTTTGGCAGCACAGGTGTACCTACAAGATATTAGGCAGGTGGTTTTCATGTTCTGGCAGATCAGTGTATACATCATAGATGTCATCAGACACGCAAATAGCCCTTTTCAATTATTTTGTATTCCTAGCACTGTTGCTTCCCTTTAAAGGAACGCTATAGTGTCAGAAATACTAACGTGTATTCCCGACAATATAGTTTTAAAATTACAGTTTAGGTATCAGGCCACCGTCTGCTAACTTTAAAGGGTCATTCTGGACCCTTAAACACCTTTAGCTTGCTGAAAATCTGTGTGAAGAGTGTGCCCTTTTTTTTTTTTTTTTTTAGTTTTCAAAAAGTGCAGATTTCAATAAAAATTGAATGAAGCAGTGTTTGCATTCCTGCCTAGTGACACCTTTAGTGGCCGTCACTCAGACTGCCTCTAAAGTGCTTCCTATCTCAATGCTGCAGTGTGCAGCACTAACATTCAGCGTCTACATTACCTTTAGAGATGCTTTAATTCAATGCATCTCTATGAGGAGATGCTGATTGGCGCAGGGTTTGGCTGCACATGCACAATAGCTTACCTATGCTTTTCATAGGAAAGTATTAGGAAGCTATTGTGCATGCACTGCAAAACTTGAGATTATCTGCCTAGAGGCAGAACCAAGAGTAGCAAGACTGGCACAGAGTGGGAAAAAAAGGAGTAAAATCACAATTCCTATGCAATTGGAGGGGGGCTAGTCACCTAAACACGTACATTTAAATTAAGTCTATGTCCACCCAACCTTTGTTAGAGCTGGAGTGGATCGGCTTTCCTTGGGTTCCAATTGCATCCGGCTGGGGGAGAGTGGAGGCAGGAGAAAGAACTGTTGCACAACGCTTAGTAATGCCGGAGAAGGAGGAGCCATTGAGCGATGCTTAGTGATGCCAGGGCCAAAATATGACATCATAGTCTGTCCACTGCATCAGCAATTGCTGCGCGAAAGAGCATGACGGGTAGATCATAGCTCCCTTGCTACCGGCCTCTTAGGGAACTAACACTCATCCCAGACGACAGGACAAAATTCCTGGTTATCATGGCGACCTGGTGCCTGGTTTTTGTAGAGCCCTGCTCTGTCCATGTAACCTGAGCAAAATAGTAGAGAAATAATTAGCTCTGTGATCTTTGCTGCTGATCTGGAGAAGTGTATTAGTGGAAGCTTCCCAGTATCTGTGCCAAAGTTAACCAATACCCTCTGTGGGCATAGCATAGTTCTTAAAATGAAAAGACAGCCAGGTGCTTGGTATCCTGAGTGTAGGCATGTGTGTCAAGTGGTGACGTAGAAGACCCATTGAGTGTAGAGGCAGGAAAGCATTGCTCCTTCATTAATTACCAATACAAAATGGCCTCCAGAGGCGTATGCTAGGTCAGCATCGATACTTAAAACTTCCAGCATATTGGCGCTTCGATCTCAGAATTAGTGCATGGGTCCAGTCAGAGCTAACTCTCACATGCTGGGAATGTTCAGATACTAATTGTCTTGATAAAAATTCTGCAAACACCTTGTATAGTTGAGACATGGTTGTTGACCTTTGACTTCGGGATTCAGAAGAACATGTTGAGAATATGCGTTGTCACCATCCCACTCATCAGCGCAATTTGATTGGAGGGATGCCATCATAGCATAGACTGGGATAGCCCCTGCTGGTCCTACAGGAGACAGGGTTTGGGGGTGGAGCAACAGGGCACCAATTGCACACTCAGAGATTTGGGTTGCTCCAACTAGGGGGAGCAGCCGCCTCTCCTTCCACAAGTCTCAACAGGCCTCACATCATGCAGACTAATTTCTGTGGTAACGTCAGAGTATAATTAACAATAAATAAGATCATTTCAAAATGTTACAGGAACAGTAGGTTGATGAGAACCTTGCTCGAAAGCGCTTACAATCTACAATCTGCTCTTTATGTGGTGTGATGAGTACATTTTTCCAAAGATTGAATATTTTGATGCACACCAATTTAATTAGGGTAGAATTGGAAGCAATATCCAAAACACTAAAGGGTTTAAAACCTGAAACCTCGGTTTACAAACGCTTCGGTTTACAAATGAAAATCCATTAACTAAAGCCTCGGTTTACAATTTTTTTCGCAGTACAAAGCAGTTTCCCTAGGATGCATTGCGCCTGGGAGGTTTATAGCGCCACCCCCATGCATACTGGAATCTGTTGGTAGCACGTGGCTTAGAGTGTGGAGGTGTTGGAGCGGCTTTTGCATCGAGTTTTGGAACTTTTTTTGTGCATTTCTCAAGTGGTGGAAAGGTAGGGAGCTACCATGATTTCCCCATGGGACCCGCGAGACATCGCTTGATAAAGTCGGGGGGTTCCCACGACAAGGGAAACTCCTACAATAAACAGCAAATATAAGTCAACACAAGACGACTGACACAACCGAACATTGAGACACCACATCACCCCCACCCAAAGGGGGAAAACACTCCAGACACACCACACAATTACCGCCCACAAGGAAGCAAGACGACAGAGGCAACTAAACACACCACTGAGCATCCCCCCCCCCCCTTTTAGAATGGCATCGCCTCATAATTGAGGAAGGGACGCAGACTCAGAACGAGAGGGTAGATGACCCAGGAGAGAACCCACAACATACCTAGGCACCGCTGAAGTTAGGGAAAGGGCAGACAGACCTGGTGCAAGACTATAGGACCCAGTCCCGCAAAACAAACCCCTCTCTCACTCCCCACGTTAGAGGACGTGACCTGGGACCTACCGCACTATTAACCATTTGATTGGGGATCAACTATAGAACCCATTTGCCCTTAATGTTGTGGGCCAGCAACCCTCCGCTTACAATAACGCTATATAAAGATGCACCTAAAACCTGTGGTACTCATGTAAGATGCAATTGGAGACCTGCGAGTCTCACTGACAATATCTGCACTGCTTTCTGTTACTATCTGAACTGCTAATAAAAACTATATTTACAAAAAAAGAAAGGTAGGGAGCTGAGCTTGGTTGTTTGCGTGCCTTTTACGGTGTATTCTGCATTGTGGGTTGGTTTCCATGCCAGCTCATTTTTACTTTTTTCTGACCTCCAGAACGGATTCATTGGTTTGCAATGCATTCCTATGGGAAATCGCGTTTCGGTTTACAAATGTTTCGCAATAAGAAATGTGAGAACGCATTAACCCCTTAAGGACCAAACTTCTGGAATAAAAGGGAATCATGACATGTCACACGTCATGTGTCCTTAAGGGGTTAAATTCATAAACAGAGGTACCACTGTACTTAAAGTAACTGGCCAGAAAGTAGAATGTATATGTAAGTTTTAATTAATTCCAGACACACTACAAATGATTCTGCATGTTCCCTTTATATGATCGTTTTCTTAGAACTTTCGATTCTGTGATGGAGTACCCAGTTTCAAGAGGTTCATTATCGATAGATTTATTACTGAACTATTGATCTAGGGAAAATGCATCTGAATTTTCCCTTTTCACCAATGCCTATGTCCCCTCCCCCCCTCACTTTATGAAAGGAGAGTTCGTGTCTTAGCAGTGTTAGTGTGTTTTTCCTTCAAGCTAAAAAATCGTTAGCTGTAAAATCATATCTGCTTTTAAATATTCGTGACCATCAAGAATGGAGAATTTGGTGTTCCTTAACATGTTTATTTGGGATTATTGGCACACGTCTGCAGGATAATTGGGGCTTAAAAAGAGAATCAATTGTGGCTTATGCCTTAGTCTTGCTTGTCATTGTATCTGGTATATTGAACAATGTATCATTTATTCATTAAATGGTCCTGCGTTTTTAGCAATGAAGCTAATGACTGCATTGGTGAACGTTGCTCTGAATCTGAGTATTCACCAAGATAACACCCAGCGACAATATGAAACAGAGAGGAACAAGATGATTGGCAAGAGAGCCAATGAAAGACTGGAACTGCTACTACAGAAAAGGAAAGAGGTAAGACATTGCACAATATAGCATTCTAACAACATATTGTGTCTTAGGACTTTACTGAAAAAAAATATTTTGTTCTCAACAATTACAGAAAAGGTGAAAAAAATATTTTGTTCTCAACAATTACAGAAAAGGCTGGCAGAGAATTATAAGTAGTCTAGTTCATAAACAACATGACGGGAGTCATCACTGATTTACACTTTCTTTAACCCTCTTTGGCCTATTCTCAAAAAAGTGTATTCTATACATGTATACGAACTGAAAAGCTGAAATATTCTAGAGGGCTGGGTCAATATTTAGGCAAAGACTATTTGCTTTTTGAGACCATTAAATTTCATTTATTTGGTAGTGCAGTTTGTTTTTGCCAATAGAGATATATATTTATCTATCTTCAGGCTGCCTTTTGGTTTAATATTGGAGTCCCTGCTTTAAAGTGTCAGCTAGTTCTGTAGATGGAAACACCATGGGATAAAAACATGTTTAGTTCTCAGTCGATACTTGGAGTTTGATTCATGCCCCTATTACTATCATATTACTATGATTGCTAACGGCTACTGTTTTAGGCTATAGTAGGTAATTCATTTACCATGGGAGATCAGAGCATTTGTGAAATCTAGACAGGTGTCTCATGGTTTTCTGTCTGTAACAAACAGTGATGTGCAACCAGATGTTTAAAATGCTTGACTGACATCCACAAGCCAGTTGCTGCAAAATAGTGTTTTGTACGTACGTTTGTATGTCACATTCTAAGAGACTGTACAAAGGATGTGAGAACCAAGTCTAATACAAACTGTATAAGAAATGCCTGCTGAATGTATCTTTTTACTGAACTGGTTGGTATATGCACTGGTTTTTCAGAAAATACCATGAACCGTCTCAAGCTCTTTGAATATCCTTGTAGGAAAATTTCTTTCTCTTGTAGTTTATCCTGTAAATTGCTTCTTTTTTTCCCCCATATGTACTTGTCAGCTTAGATTGGTCTGAATTTTCTCATGGCATAAATGGAAGGATGTTTTGTTTAATATTTAATAAAGTAGCAGTATACAGTCAAATCTTTTTTTTGTAACTAGTATTGCATTATCTAATAGTATTGGAATATCTGCTACCTACTTGTCTCATTCAATCTATTTCTCACACACCATTCTAATGTAGTAAAATAACCAAAAATAGTCTAACCACTCAGGGTGGTGGGTGTATGTATGTATAGAGAGATGTTTTGTGTCTGTTTTTTCAAACACCGCTCCACCTATCCCAAAGAATAAGTGGAAATGCTCTGTAATTCCTTGGTTAAGCTGTGATGTGAGTGCGGCGTGTAGGCATTGCATGCAAACTTTGGGTAAAATTGACATAGCCAACCCAGAAACTATACCAAAAAAAGTGTATATAAGTAAAAATTCCCTTGTATAACAAATAATGGAGTGCTAAATTTAAATATAATAGTGCAAATTAGAGGAATAAGTATACCTCTTTATATGTAGATAAAACATAAACAAAAAAGTAAAAAAATACATAGTGTAGATGGTACCAATATAATGACAAAACAAAAAGCAGGGTAAGGAATACTCACATGAACCTGAGTCTAATATGTATGGTTCAGTATTTGCGCCTTAATGCTCTTAACCCCTTAAGGACACAACTTCTGGAATAACAAGGAATCATGACGGAATATTTCCATCATGTGTCCTTAAGGGGTTAAGGTTGAATTTTACCTCTCCTCTTGGATGGTGTTCTTCCAAATATCAAAAACAGAAAACCATAGAAAGCAATCATGTAATATTGCCACATAAAGTTTAAAAAAAGCGGAAAAGTTATGCAGTTTCAATTACCTACGGTAGCTCAGAGCCTATCAATCTCTGTATAACTTGGTGTTAATTATTGATGGAGTGACACTACCCAAACAGTGCTACTGGAACTTGATGACTCAGATAGGACTGTAAAGTGCTACAGCTTGTTTTTATTATAATTATTAAAACAAATTAAGTTAATACATCCTAAAACAATGTATGTAAACAATATATAATATATTGCAGTTATGCATAATAGCCCTGCCAAGACGCATTTTTTTTGTGAGACATTATCAGTTGGCAATGTACGAGTTCCAGTTCTCGATTCCAAATTTAAAACACAAATTGTGTTTTATTGTGTAAAGAGTTTAAGCGCTACTTACACACTTTGTTCTCTGCGAGGAAACTTTTATTAACCCAGAAACATTGACTGACTAGTTGATTGACAAGAGACATGACAATGCAATCCAATTAAAAATGTCAAATATCTTGAATTAGGTAAGATGTAAAAATAAAACTTTGCACAGACTAGGTCGTTGTACTTAAAACCACACCAGGAAGCTGAAGTGTTTAGGTGCTTAACTTTTTTTAATTTTGGAAAGTGTCAGATTGGATTTTTTTTTTTTTTTTTTTCATCAGCACTTGTATTTCCCTCTTTCTCATATATCCATGCTACTTTTGCTTTCAGCTCCAAGAAAACCAAGATGAAATTGAGAATATGATGAATTCTATCTTCAAGGGTATCTTTGTTCACAGATACAGGTAAGTCAGTATTTTTCTATATGTTCTTTTACATGTACAAAAACCGTTGGCGTGTTGTGTTTTATTTATCGACAACTTATGAGTGTAGGTTGTACTTTACATGTTATATTAAGTAACTGCAATTTTGTGCAGACAGTACATTTGATCTATACCTAATTGATTTTCCCTACTGTCATTGAGCTGGTACAGAAAGTTAGGAACAAAACCATTTTTAATCTACAGGCTGTTATTTTGGTGCGATGTAAAATCAAAATTTAAGGCAGTGTTAAAAACAAATCAAACAGTGGTATTGTTTTGCAGGTTCTAACACTTAACCCAGAATCTTCTATCACCATCCATTGTCTTCACCTTCATTTCCATCCTTCCAAAATAAGTCCTAATCACTTTCCTAACCCCATCACAAAATCACAATCCTCTCAGGGTCATGATATCAGTACTTCCCCAGTGCCTGAAGATTAGGAGATCTCCATATAGCATAAGGTCTGTCAAACCAATAATGCGCTGCTGAGGTCAATCAGGGTTTGAATACATGATCTCCCTTCCCAATACATGTAATGCATGAATTGCATACCAGCAGTACTATCTCTTGTAAAATTAGGAAACTGACACACATGGTACTTATAGTGTATAGAGGGAAAATATCTACTGTCTAACCATTTATTTATAATCTATTTCTTTAAAGGGATGCCATTGCTGAGATAAGAGCAATCTGTATTGAAGAAATTGGAGTGTGGATGAAAATGTACAGCGATGCTTTCCTAAATGACAGCTACTTAAAATATGTGGGTTGGACGCTACATGATCGGGTATGTTTAGAAAATGTGACTAGATCTGCAGAGTATCTCTCCCTCCTCCAGTTTAAAATATTGAGGCTAATATTAAGTTGTCTAAGTATTATGTAGTATGTTGTCTTCAAGTAAAAGGTTTAACTAATACTTTACTTCATATTGAAAATCTGGTGAAAATATAACAAATCATTTTTTTATTTCAGAGGAGTCCAAATGTTTTTTTGAAGATTACCTAAATATTTTTAATGCAATAATTTTGTTTTGTTTTCCATGACCTGCTTAAATTGTGTGACCATCATATTTATTATTGCTTCAAATTTAAACAATTTCCGTGCCAAGTTAAAAATAATGACCTCTTTGTATAATTGTATCTGACTTAAGGCTCTGCTTCCTCATTTCTTTCCTATTTTAGCAAGGGGAGGTGAGATTGAAATGTCTGAAAGCTCTTCAGAGTCTGTACACCAACAGAGAGCTCTTCCCAAAACTGGAACTCTTCACCAACAGGTTTAAGGTATGCTGGAGAATCAGGAGTGGTGAAATTTACACTTTTACAAGGATGCATGCTTGTTTGCAAATCAGTCGTTGTTTACATAGGAATAATCCTATGTATTTCCAATAGACTCTGGCACGTCAGAATGGCTATGTACTCTGTAATAGGCATGCCCTTACATGTGGCATGGCGGGTGGGGGCCTGAAGGAAGATTTGAATCTCCCTTATACGAAATGTGGATCATATTGACCCCCCCCATTGGCCTAGAATATTTAGTCTCTCACTCACCTTGAGGCATGGGTTGATTTCGTAAGCTTTGCTCCGCACCTGCTTCTACTTTTTAAATCAAGTTGCAAGGAAGAAGCTGGTATTTTTAGCATTATCAATTTTATCCAAATTTGGACAACATAAAATGACGGAGTATGTGAGCGGATAAAGGGCCCCTATCAGTTAGTTAAGATTAGATGGGCCGAATGGTTCTTATCTGCCGTCACATTCTTTGTTTCTATAGGTTAAAATGCTCAAATGGATTGACAAAGATCTGTGGCAGAACTCCAGGTGCTCACTGGCACTTATAAACATTACAGTGGGCTACAGTGATAAGGGTGTTTATAGAGCCCTTTCAAAAAATATTTTCATCCTAATAGAACAATACAAACTTAACAGTGTGTGTGCTGGGGTGATTTGTTTTGAAAGTACAGTTGATCCTTTTTATTGCTTCATAAACCATGTGCAGGCACGTATTAATATATAATTATCATATTGTAGATAAAATACAAATATGGCTGTAATAAAAAATGGTTTGCTGCCAGCACTAATTACACCCCATAATCGTGCAAGTAACACATGCACTGCTTTTTATTTGCTGGCATCTTCTAGGCATAGTGTAAAATTAAACAAACACTTAAGCATGATAAAATATATATAAGATTTTTAAGGCATTTATGCTTGCTTGTTTCAGCCCCTGTCCGTGGTACTGAGTGGTAACCGAACCAATAATTTAATATCGCTAAAATGGCTTTAGAAATCTCCATATAGCAGTTTAACATGAATTTCTAATAGCAGTACTACAGTAATTTCTACAGTAAAATGGTGCTCATAGCACTTTCTGAGGGTTTTTGGGACTTTTGTCCTGCCAGCCTCTGATGAGGTGTCTCAGGACCTCTTTATATTTGTCCTTACATATTCTGTTGATTAAAGTCCTTATCACATGTTATCCTCAGGGGATTAAGTCTTTAGGCAGCTGATTCAAGCCTTTACTAGTCAGCCTTATTTCGGGTATCCGACCAGAGCTTCTACTATAAATAAGCTTTTCTCTTATTTCAGAATATGCTTTCCCAAAGAGGTTAGCAGAAAAAACAATATTAAGCTAAAAAGGATTACTGAATAGAATCGGCCCTCTGTGTGGGTTTTGGTTTCACGTGGTAATTTTAATGGAAAATATAAGCACACACAGTCGCCACATTCTCACAACATTCCAGTTCCATCATGTGAATGTTAGAGAAGCTTAGTTTTTTTTCAATATATATATTTTTGTCAAGTCCTATGCTTTACTCTTTACTATTTTCTTCCAACTGAGTTTACTACAAGGATATAATTAAATTTTTTTTTTTTTTTAACGGGAGGGGTTGGGTCTTTAGAAAAGAGTGAGTAGTTTTTGAGGTGTACTGCACGTCTTAAATATCTGTCCAGGACAATGGAGTTCAGAACTGTAACATGAAGCCCACGTAGTAAGACACTGCCAATGACACATTGTATGTAGACATTCTGTTAAAAAGCATGAATTGATAGGTTTTAATATACATATAAAGTGTGGATTCAGCGCCCCCCAATGGCTGGACTGATGTTTGCACACAGACTGGACATATAATATGGAGTAATATTTGCAAGTTATACAGTACTTTTTTTTTTCTATACTCAAATAAGTATTATTATTATTATTATGTTATTTATATAGCGCCATCAAATTCCGCAGCGCTTTACAATGGGTGGACGAACAGACATGTAGTTATAACCAGACAAGTTGGACACACAGGAACAGAGGGGTTGAGGGCCCTGCTCAATGAGCTTACATGCTAGAGGGAGTGTTAGACTAGTGACAGTTGCAGAAGAGGAATCAGTCAGGAGCTATTAACAGTTTAATTGATACGCTTTTATGAAGAAGTGGGTTTTTTTAACGATTTTTTTGAAGGAGTGGAGACTGGGTGAGCATCTAACGGAGGAGGGAAGCGAGTTCCACAGGAATGGTGCAGCCCTCAAGTAATCTTGAAGGCGAGCATCAGAGGTGGAAGTACGGACAGAAGATCGATGTAAGTCTTCAGCAGATCGTAGGGGCCTAGACGGGACATACTTGTGCATAAGGGAGGATAGATAGGTGGGGGCAGTATTATGTAGCGATTTGAAAGCAAGAACCAGAATTTTAAATTGAGCTCTATATTTTATAGGAAGCCAATGTAGGGACTGACAGAAGGGTGAGGCATGGGAGGTGCGGGCGGACAGGAAGATGAGCCTCGCTGCCGCATTCATTATGGACTGTAACGGCGCAAGTTGGGAGCACGTAAGACCACTGAGAAGCGGATTACATTAGTCAAGGCTAGAAAGGACAGTGGAATGGACCAACACCTTAGTCGCATCTGACGTTAAAGGACCACTATAGTGTCAGGAAAACATACTCGTTTTCCTGGCACTATAGTGCCCTGAGGGTGCCCCCATCCTCAGGGTCCCCCTCCCGCCGGGCTCTAGGGTGAGGAAGGGGTTAAACTTACCTCTTTCTCCAGCGCCGGGCGGGGAGCTCTCCGCCTCCTCTCCCCCTCTTTGGCTGAATGTAAATGCACGGCAAGAGCTGCGCGTGCATTCAGCCACTCTCATAGGAATGCTTTCCTATGGACGCTGGCGTCTTCTCACTGTGATTTTCACAGTGAGAGGCACGCAAGCGCCTCTAGCGGCTGTCAGTGAGACAGCCACTAGAGGCTGGATTAACCCTAATTCTCTGAAACTGCTATGTTTATAGAAAAAAGGGTTAAACCTAGCTGGACCTGGCACCCAGACCACTTCATTAATCTGAAGTGGTCTGGGTGCCTATAAGTGGTCCTTTAAGTAGGGGCGGATGCGCGCAATGTTTTTGAGATGGAAATGACAGGATTTGGCGATAGTTTGAACATGAGGCTTGAAGGAGAACACCTAGGCAGCGAGCTAAACAAATGAGTTTACCAAGGGAGGCAGTATAGATGGAGAACAGTAGGGGACCAAGGACTGTAAAATAATTGCACATTTATGCATCTACAAATTGAGAGTGACCCATAGAAGAAGACCAATAATACTTCAATATATGTGGTATAGCTAAACCTTATCTACTGCCCATGACTGGAATACAGATGCACAGTACTTAAGCCATGGTGCCCATATTTCCTCATATGTGTTTAATTTCCCCAACAATGCCAATGCATCTCTTCCAGCAACCTGGTGATCTCAACCCTTCTTATCCACTGTTCCCTGGTGGGAGATCCCTGTAAATTTCACCAAGTTGTTATTAGATCCTTGGCACCCAGTGGAGAGTTTGACTTTTTTGAAAAAATGTTTGGCTTCCCCAGGTGGATCTATGAGGGGGAAAGTATAAATTAGTGGAGAGGTTTACACACTATTCTAAATTACTTAATGTCTTTACAACCCCACCAGATGTCACTCACAGCTGGGACAATTGAGTGTAAGAACTCAGGGCTTCTATATCACCTAATGATAATTTTGTAGGAAGACTCTTGTGTTTGGAGACTAATCATTGAGGTAATTACCATGCAGTAGATATGTGTCCAGTTCCTAAGGTACAATTGTATGTGAAGCTCTGTTTCCCATGTTCTTTGGTAAAAGGGATGTCGTTGGATTAATGCGTATATACTAGATAATGGCCTTCAAAAAGTGGTTCAGTTAAGAGAAACTGGGTAATTCTAGTAAAGTGGGAGTCCTGTCCCTCAAAATGTCAGAAATCTTAGGGGCTTTATTCTCGATTAGAATAGAGGACAAAAAGTACATTGTGTAGTTCCCACCAATCTAGTCAGTAGTGCGGTTTGACTGCCTCCTGCTGGCAATGAGAGATTTTTTATAATAGGCATCAACAGTGAGATATCTGTGGATAATTGCATAATGGAGCAGAATTTCCTCCAAAGTGGTAGAATGAGCCCAATTAAAGGGCGACGGTCCCGCCTATATGTAGTTAGAGGAGATGCCGTTCAATTTAGTGAAAAATTGTGGTAGAGCTATAATTTTCTAAATCTCCTATCTCCCTAAGTTGTTTGTTGCAGAGTCCACAAGAGGGACGCAATTTGCTCTATACAGGTCCGCTACTGTCAATGTCAGGTGGACTCCTAAATATTCAATCCCAGAGGTTGCCCATTGAAACTTATAGGAATTTAACAGCGAGGTTCGTACATATATGGGCACAGCTAATCCCAAGATTTCACTCTTCTAATTTACCTTATTGTTGGAGAGGGCGCCATCTCTTCACTGACATCCCATGGGACTGACTTGGATTGGGGTTTGAGAGCAGTATATCATTAGCGAAGGCTTGTACCTTTTATCTTCACCCGCGGGTATTGTACACCTGATATCATCTGATTTTCTCCTGTTTGCAAACCGCGTTCCCTCACTAATACAAACAGTAAGGGAAAGAGTGGGCTTCACTGCCTGGTACTGTTACTAGTTAAAGGATGGGAAAAACTGTCCATTAAGATTGACCTTTGCCTAGGGGTTTGTATATAGCCCTCCATCAACTGCCGAAATATAGCCCCAACTCCTAAACCGCAAAAAGATAAGACCAGTCCAATCTGGCAAAAGCATGGCATTGGTAGGAGTAATAGTTTAGTGACGTTAGCCCTGTGAATTATGTTAATAATATTGGTAGTATTGCCACATGCTTCTCTGCTTGGGATGAAGTCAGATTGGGTAAAGTGGATTAGTACAGGCAGGAGAGGCTTGAGACAAGAGTGAACAGTTTAGCAAATAGCTTCAGGTCGGTTCTGATGAGGGATATCGATCTATAGCTACTGCATGTAATAGGGTCATAACAAGCCTTTGCAACGATCACACCATTTTATAATTTATTTTTTTTGTTCCATATCTTGGATGTCTGTGTGTGTGTATTTTCTATCGATTAATGTAGAGATATATAGAATGTTTTGATATGTGTAGGTATTGGAACTGTTTGAAATATTTATTTAATCAAAGTAGTAACTAACAGCTCAATTTAATAAGCTTTCTGAATGATTCAATACCGTTACAAAAATGTCCAAATTATTTATCTGCATAAATTCCCATAGACTTTAGTGATGACTTCTGTGGATAAATGACTTGGAAACTATTCTAATCGTATTGAATCATTTGGAAAGATTATTAAATTGAGGCCCAAGTGTTAATTGGCTGTGTAAATCCATTAATGGCTGAGGTCAACCAGTGCTATAGTTTTATGTAATGTAAATTGGCACTCGTATTTTCCTTCTTGCCCATGAAAATTGGTAGTTGTTACTGTTAAAGATCTTCGTGCCCTAAATTCATGCATTTATGGTTTTCTGTTCCAATTAATTTCTTTAAATAGTTCAGTGTCTGACACTGGTCTTAATTGTAGACTTGAACCAGGGAAACAGCTGTGGTTTTATTTCGGTTTTGAAATAGAATTTTCTTTATCCTTTTGTGCCAACATTACTGTAAAAGGTGCAAAAGTTTGTAAGTGCTTTACATGGTGTCTTTGATCGTACCTTTTCTTCATAATGTATTAAGAAATATCCCAAAAGGATCCCCTAATGTTTCCTGCTCTATCAGAAATAAGATGGGTATGATATGGTAGGTTTATATATAGTTCATAATTAAACACAATTTAGTAGCTACGCAACACATACTGGTATGTAAAATAATGCAGCAATGACTCACCATGTCACCAGTATCTCTGCTGGAAAACTATGTATTATGTGCCCAGGTCAATGACCTGTAAATCTTGACTTTCAATATATCAAATGAGAAAAACAAATCGTAATGGCTACGAGGGGAGTACTGGATGAATTACTAAATGTGCATGGACACATACCTAATAAAGAATTGGCAATTAGCAAACATTTCTTTATTTCCATGTGTCTTATTTTTTTGGTGATATTTGAGATGAAGTATGTGTAATGATATATTCTTGTTTTTATGATATCTGCAATTGCTTTTTTACCTAAATTTTCCTTTTCACTTTTCCATGTTCTTCGCGATAACATTTTGAGATCACTTATTGAAACCATAACACTATAGTGTCAGACCCCACCTGTAAAAAAGCATTTTACTTTTCTCCCCTCACAGCACCGGTCTATGCAGGAAACTCGCCTTGTTGCTGAGATCATGGAAATCAAGGATCTCTGCAAATCCAATGTTTTTCCATGGCAGAATAGCTGCGGGGTTAAAACAGGGGAAGGACAGGGTATCCACACCATTTTTTTTTTTCTTCTCAGTGAAGTGGTCTGAGTGCCATGTCCCTGTCATTTTGAAGACTGCATGTGAAAACATTGCTGTTCTGCAGGATTAAAATGCATTGCCGGTTTTAAATGCATTTCTAACGTTGCTGCTGTCACTCTGTGAGCCACTAGAGATGCTATCATACAAATAGATGAGTGAAACTTGTAGAGACCATGTGATTAGTGCTCGTGTGTGACAAAACACTGCTCTGCAAGTCTCCCAATTCGATCCTATGGGAAAGCATTGGGTTGGCTGAGGTGGGGGTCACCTAACTGGTTAGCAGGGCACTATAGCGTTGGGAATACACATATGTATTCCTAACACTACAGAGTTCCTCTGAAGTGCGATTCTAAGCAACACAACTTCTACAATTTAGAACCAGTTTAATATAAACTGGTCCTCTTCCAAGTCCTCACAAAATTCTTCTTAGCCGCATTAATAACTCAGAATTTAAATGTTTGCCTGGACAGCAGTGATTGGCTGTAGGTGCTCAGGGAGTGTTTCTAAATGGTTGACTTTAAAGGGGCAATTAAGGCACCGTAGGTACTGCAATAATGAAGTGGTTATGGTGCCTGATGTCCCCCAGCACTTTCTTGGCTTCATGGGGTAATACGTTTTTGAACAGGTTGTTACAGTAGTTGTTTCCCCAGGCAGCCTTTTGCTGCACTGACTAGTGCAGAAGCATTAGCCCAAGCAGAGAAAGGGGTGAAGAATGTGTTGAGTTAAAAGGGTCAGCTGCCCATTGCAAGTAATTGTACGTACAATTTTTAATCTTCTCTAAAATGATGAGCGACCAGTGATAGGCTGAGAGAAACAGCTGACTTTCAACCTGTGACTGCCGCCCCTTCGCTGCTCAGTTTCCCCCATTAACCAGAGCAGTAAAGGAGTGTGATAGTGAAAAAAAACAATAGTTTGAGAAAAGGCAACCGTTTGAGTCTAAATTGAATATTCATGGTATGCTGGAGGACTCTATTTTTTATATCAAAGAATATCACATGGAGATGTTTTACTATGTATCTAGTATCAGTTAAACAAGTGGTTAAACCCCTAGTTGGGATTCCATAATGAGTCCTCATGCCAGCTTAGTAGGTCCCCTCTGGTTGATGCAGCACCTAATATTTATCAGGTCTCTAGGCAACTGCCCACAATACGTTGTATTTTGTAGCAGTAAGGTCTTTCCTAGCACATCAGTCAGTTCAGCTAATGTTAATTATGTTACACATGAAGTAGAAGAATTGTTCCCAGATCAGATAGTTCAGTTGAAGACCGGATCACTAAACTGATGTCATGTATTGAATTTGCCTCTGACACAAAAGATAAGAGCCAGGGAGTTAAATGATAGCAGCATAGTTCTTATGCTCACTAGATCATTGTTTACTGATCTGCTTCATTTATTCTTCATTATTGCTTAACCTTCCAGATCACACAAGATTATCACACTGGAAACTTTAAAGCGTACACACAATATAATTTCTCTACTGTACCCATCCATGCTGCTGCTACATTGTATGCTTTGAGCAGCTTACCGGGTATGAATCTTTACATTATTATTATTATTATTATTATTATTATTATTATTACTGGTATTTATATAGCACCAGTATATTCTGTAGCGCTTTTCAATTTTATCAAATGGGGAGATTTAACAATAAATGAGACCATTACAAAAACTTACAGGAACAATAGGTCGAAGAGTGCCCTGCTCAAACAACCTTAGTCTATAGGAGATGGGGCGTAAAACCAAACAGGACAGGAGGTAGCAATCAAACAAGGTGGAGTGAAGCAGAGCTGGAGGATAGAAAAGAGTGCTGCCCTTTAGGAAAGCGCAAGAGACAGGTATGTTAGGTAGAGGTTACTCTGGGAGGCCATAAGCTTTCCTAAAGAGATGGGTCTTGTGGCACTTTTTAAATGATTAAAGGGATACTCCAGGCACCCAGACCACTTCTGCCCATTGTAGTGGTCTGGGTGCCAACTCCCACTACTCTTAACCCTGCAAGGTAATTATTGCAGTTTATAAAAAAACTTCAATAATTACACTCGCAGGGTTAACTCCTCCTCTAGTGGCTGTCTAGTAGACAGCCACTAGAGGACACTTCCTGGTTTCTAGCACAGGAAACCTGTGCTAGAGCTTCACTGGACGTCCTCACGCTGTGTGAGGACCTCCAGTGTCGCTCATTTCCCCATAGGAAAGCATTGAAATACATTTTCAATGCTTTCCTATGGGGTGCGCTAATGCGCATTCGCGCAGCATTGCCGCGCATGCGCATTAGGTCTCCCCGGCCGGTGGGCGGGATCAGTCTCGCCCACCGGCTGACGCAATGCACCCCTTCAGCAACCGGGGATTGGCGGGTGGGAGGGAGAGGGGATCTGCAGTGCCAGGAAAACGGATTGTTTTCCTGGCACTGGAGTTTCCCTTTAAAGACTAAGGGAGAGCTTGATGGTCGTATGCAGGCTATTTCAAATGAAAGGAGCCGCCTGCGATAAGTCCTGCAAGCGTGAGTTGGCTGTATTGGTGCGAGCAGTAGAAAGGAGAAGGTCATGGGCAGAGCGGAGAGACCCAGAAGGGGCATACCCGTGGATCAGTGAAGAAATATAGGAGGGGCTAGAATTAGTCGGTGCTTTATAGGTGTGGATTAGTGCCTTGATTTGACTCCTGTAGGATACAGGAAGCCAATGTAAGGAGCGACAGGAAAGTAAAATCTGTCTAGCTGCAGCATTCATTACAGACTGTAGGGGGCAATATGACTTGTGCATTGACAAGCTCCTTAGTAGCATCTTGTGTAAGAAAGTGGCGGATGCGCGCTATGTTTTTAAGGTGGAATCTACAGGATTTGGTAACAGACTCAATGTGAGGCCAGAATCAAGTATAATGCCAAGACAGCGCGCTTGCAAGGTTGGACTGATGTGGGTACCACTCACTTGAATGGGAAGTGAAAGAGGGGGATCAGTATAAGGAGGAGGAAAGACCAGGAGTTTAATTTTAGAGAGATTGAGTTTCAAAAAGCGGGAGGACATCCAGTCAGAGATGGAAGAAAGGCAAGCCGTGAAATGTTGCAGGACAGCAGGGGAGAGGTCCAGGGAGGAGAGGTATATCTGGGAGTCATCAGCATACAGGTTGTATTGGAATCCAAATGAGGTAATAAGTTTGCCAAGAAAGGCAGTATAAAGAGAAAATAGAAGCAGACCAAGTACAGAGCCTTGGGGGACTCCAAGAGAGACCGAAGGGAGGAGGTATAATTAGAAAAGGAGACACTAAATGAGCGTTGGGAGAGATAGGAGGAAAACCAAGAGAGGACAGTGTCACAGAGACAGAGTGATTGAAGACTTTGGAGAAGGAGAACATGGTCAATAGTGTCAAAGGCAGCAGAGAGGTCAAGAATAATTAGTATAAAGTAGTGCCCTTTGGATTTAGCTGCGATTAGGTAGTTAGTGACTTTCATAAGAGCAGTCTCCGTAGAGTGGAGGGGGCGGAAGCCAGACTGAAGAGGATCAAGGAGAGAGTTGGAATTGAGGAAGCAAGTCAGACGGGTAAGGACGATTCTTTCCAGAAGCTTTGAGGAAAAAGGGAGCAGGGATATGTACGATGGTTAGAAGGGGAGGACGGGCCAAGAAATGTTTTGTTTTGTTTTTTAAGATGGGTACTACAGTAGCATGTTTAAGGGCAGCAGGGACAACACCAGAAGGGAGAGAACAGTTTAAGATGTGTGTTAAGGAAGGCACAAGAGGAGAGAGATCTGATATGGTGAGACGGGACAGGATCAAGCAGGAAAGTGGTGGGTCGAGAGGAAAGGAGAAGCGCAGCCACCTCTTGTTCAGTAGCCTGGGAGAAAGTCTGAAGGGTAGGAAAGGCATGATCCAGGTGTGAAATATAAAATGGTGGTGAGAGCACTCTAATCATGCAAATACAATATTTTACCAGAACTTTGTTTGTTGGAATATCTAAAAAAACATAAAACACAGAAACATAGTATAATACTGTTTAAAATATGTGCAAAATGTTGTATGTGACTGGTTAAACTCACATATTTCTGAGTCACTTTAAAAGCTGACTCAGACTTAGGGTTTGTATGGAGATGAGAAATCTCTATTCTGGACGTCCTGTATCACACCTTGTGGATCCGCGCTGATAGTATCCTCTAAAATTACTCCAGGATGCAGAAATCGAATCCAAATTGATTTATTATTAAAATACTTCACAAAATTAAAAATTAATAGTAAATACAGGTAAAATGTCCTTTGTGTATACCACGACGCGTTTCGGCACTCACAGCCTTTCTCAAGTGGTCTGTTTCTCATCTCTCTATTTGCTCCTTTATACCTTCAAATTTCAGCGCCCTTTCTCCGGCGTCCTGTGTGCCTTCCGTTTTCGTCATCACTCTGCGACTTCCGGTTACGTTACGTGATGACGTTTTTGTTTACATCATCTTTCCTTAGCCAAACGGCTACGTCATGACGTCTTCCTGGCGCCGAACCCGGAAGCACTAACCGCGCCATTTTAGAAAGTCTTTCGACATGAAAAATTTGCCAGTCTTTTATCCATTTCCAAATACTTAATATATACATCTATATACGAGGAAAACCCACATTAACAGACAATTTATCAAAAAAATGCATAAAATAGTCATAAGAAGAGGTATTATTGTCCTAAAAAAGGGGAAAAAAATATATATCATTGAAAAAGAAGAACGGGGGGAAAAAACATTTTTAACATATAGATTAAATTTAAAATAATATAATATATAAAATAGTTTTAAAAAAGTCATTTAAAACACTTAATACTATATACATGAATTAATCTCAAAATCTATGTTTAAACCATAGGGGGACAGTGATTCCATATTAAAAATCCACTTCATCTCTTTTTTACTAAGGAGGCGTTCTATATCTCCTCCTCTCCAGTGGGTTTTTACAGCCTCTATTCCTATAAATTCAAATCCACTGATATTCCCTCCATGTACTTCCAAAAAATGTTTAGAAACATTGTGTAGGGTAAACTTTCTATTTATATTATAAATATGCTCCCTTATCCTTATCTTCAATGTTCTTGATGTCTTCCCAATATACTGTAAGCCACAGGGACAGACTATCATATAATATAATATATAATATACATGATCCAGGTGTGGTTGAGAAAGAGAGGTGCAAGGTGGTGAGAATTCTTTAATTTAGCTGGCAAAGCTATCGTCTGTTAGGTTAGTTTGGGGTGTGGCCACAGCAGGGCAAAGAAGGGAGGTAAAGGTATTAAAAAGACACCTGGGATTGCGGGGGCATAAGCTAATGAGGGAGGAAAGGTATGACTGTTTGGCAAGGGCTGTGCTGTATGAACACAACATGAATTTGTAGTGGAGGAAGTCAGACTGGGTGCGTGACTTCCTCCAGCAGCGTTCAGCAGAATGAGAGCATCTTTACAGGTTGCGTGTTGATTTAGTGTGCCATTACATCACACTTAACATTCACTAGCACCTCCTGCCTTTTAACCAAATTTCCTTTAAAGCTATCAAAATGTAAAAAAAAAAAAATGTATTTTTTTTTTTTTTTTTAAATGCCCTTTCGGATGCATGAATGCACAGTATTTTAGGGGTGGTTCAGAACCAACTTGGGCTTTATTTATTTATTCCCGTCTGCTGAAATGTAAGGGGGGGGGGAACCAAGATAATATATAGTTGTAATGAGATTGCCTTCCTTTTCAGGATCGGATAGTTTCCATGACTTTGGATAAAGAATACGATGTTGCTGTTGAAGCAATTCGATTGGTTACCCTCATTCTTCAGTAAGTAGCTGCCACTAATTGATTAGTTCCAACAGGTATTCAATATGGTGAACTCGGTGTTCTATATACAGAACAGAATGAACATCTCACTCCTTCATGCATGTAGCCAGTACAATAAAGATGTTACTCTGTTGTATGTAGAATTCATGTAATACAAGAGGTTTATGTAAAGAAACTCTTGAACATTAAAAATATAAAAATAAATCTTTAATTTTATGTTCGTGTTCCTTTATTGGTTTTGATTTGGGACTGTTGCTAATTTGAAAAGAAAAAAAACAAAACACTACATAATTTGTAACTCCCTTTAATCAAAAAGCATGTGTCTATGTGGAACTATTGCTTGTAGGTGGTCTCCACTCTCCACAAATCCAATACTTCTTATAGGGAATTAATGAATACGCGCTTCTCTGAGAAGCACTAACTCCATTCAATGTCATAATTTTTTGCACAAAGTCGAAAATTATCACAAAGAGAATGTGCCCCTTGTGGCTTTGTCTGCCATACACCAGAGGCAAGGGCATTGCCTTGATTTAATTTCCTTTTAACAGCTTTTGATTTGATTTCTACTTATAGTTGTGCCATGTGCAAGAGGATATTTCTTTTGATCAGACATTTGAATAGTCACAGAAATATTGGGAAGTCAAATTATCTTTTGTAAATATGTTTGATTATAAAATGTTTTTTTTCGGTAACATAGGTATGGAAGGTACATAGTTGGACTTTGAGAAAGGTGGTTTCAAAATGCAGTTGCCTCATCCTCTTGACATGGGACTGGCAGGCCCCCTTAATAGAAAAATAAAAGCAGCGTATCCAGTCATGTACATCAGCATTTACATTTGCTATGTACATCCCAGACTTTCTGCAATACAAACCATAGGCTCAGCAACCCCATCGGGAGCCATATATAATGTGAGACTTGTAGGTCTCTGTATAGGATAAATGGGCTAAAGACGCAATGTATTCTCGTCACGCTAGACCTCAAGGGTCAATTCCTGTGATATCCGATTCGAACATTAACAACTAAGGTTGGGCGAAATGAAGGAGGGTGATAGGGTCAGGGAATAAGCAAGTTGGATCACCCGACGAATGGTCCTCACTGGCCCTTGGGCCCCCGAGTCCAGGCCAAGTGTCACTCTTGTCATTGTGTATGTTACTGTGGCATCAGCTGAAACACCTTAGTAGAGGTGGTAAGTAACCAATGGGACCAAATGTCCATATAATTTGTCTTCTATCAGAGGCTTTAAGTATGAGCTCCTCTATGTAGTGGAGTTCTTCTGCCTTAGTGAATAACCGATTCAAAGAGGCCTAGTTTGTTGTCTCCAAAAAAGAGGGTTTAGCTGTTTATTTACTTTCCGAATACGGATTGTAACTGAGTTGATATAAAGCAAACTAGGGGTTTTAGTGTGATGAAGGAGCATAGATGCAGTCTCCATAAGTGTTGGAGAGTCATAGAATTTGGTAAGCATCATCTGGATACTAAACCAAAATGGGCATAAGATAGTAAGATATTTTTTTTTATTTTTTAGCTGCCTATTGGGTTTCTATTCCTAAATACGTAGTATAGCTAATTCACGACCGTTCGCACAATTAGTAGATAATGCAGTTTATTTCTACAGTGAAATGTTCCTTTTTTTCTTTTTTTTCTACCACCTGTGTGCTTTTTCTTGAATTACCTACACTACTGTGGAGTTTGTCTGTTCCAGGTACTGGGCATAGCACAATGCAATTCTGCTACATACTACTCCGAACAGTAGCCTACCTATCTGTCATGCCAATGATTAAGGAATATATTGATCAAGTCCAAAACCTAAAGGAAATCGCAAGTCATTTAGGCAGAGCATAAAGTGGAATTTTGTTTAAAATTTTTTTTTAATTTTAATTCTTCAGTCTATTCAGTTGACTACACAATTTAATCAGACATCTGTAAAACAATAAAGCCTCTTATTATAATCATACAGTTTGTTACGCTATCTCCAATACATAATTTACCCATGGACTGTCAATTCTTTGTAGATTAAGTGACAATGAAGTTGCATTGTGGTTGTTTGCGGCATAATCTAGTTAGACTTGCTTTGTCTGTTACGTGAGTTAGTTCTGCTCAAAACAGGCTAAATCAGGGCTTGCCCATGTTTGCCTTTCTATGCTTTTACTACAATTTCCAAGCCATATGCACATCGGTGTCCAGTCATAGCCTTCACTTTATTGATTTAAAGTTATGCTAATAGAGAATTATCAGAATTCTTTTGAAAATGCTGTTTGGACAAGTTTGTTTTATCTTTTTATCTGTGTTATAGATGTTCCTATATGTATGTATTTTAAAGGCATGCTCATTGCGAAAGCTACCTCTATGTTCCTTATATGTGTTATAATGCAAAGAGCTTCCCTATCTCCCAATACACATTCTCTTATGAATGATTGCTTGGATTTCCATATTATCAGAGAACAAGCCGAACGTTGAATCACATATTCCACTTTATTTTGTAATGACTTATTTTAATACATTGTCACTTTACTGCATTAAAATGAAATGCAGGTATGCTATCTCCATTAATAGTACATTAAATACTATAGGTCTCGCCCATAATAACATTGAAAGTAGCATTCTGTTGGCGGTTTTTCCTTTTGTATATTTGCACTGTATTTACTGGATGTGAATTAATCTCTTGCTGCTCTTTCAGTGGCAGTGAAGAGGCGCTCTCCAATGAAGACTGTGAGAATGTTTACCACCTGGTGTACTCGGCTCACCGGCCTGTAGCTGTGGCAGCCGGGGAATTCCTTCATAAAAAGTGAGTACTTACAGCAGTGACATTTGCAAGAGCCACGATCATTAGTAGGACTATAATAGCTATTGTGAGTGAACAGGTCTCTGGGGTTATTGGAGGTGACTGCAAAGTTTGATTAAAGCTGCACCAATAAGACAATTAAAAGTGCTTAGCTGTTACACACTTTAAATTAATTCCGCTATTATTCATACTTAAGACAGTCTCTTGAAACTTGCTGTTTTAAAAAAAAAATGGGGGGGGGGAGGGGATTTTTATCTATAAGTATCTTCAAGTTTAATAGGTTAATTACTGTATAGACCTTAAAGTGTTTCATTTAACTAAAATAACATCTTAAACGAGACATAATATAATATTGCATGTATATTTATTTGCTGAAACATCAAATTGTCATTGTTTTGCTCCTTACTCGTGTTTTCAAAGTAGTTATACAGCTTGCTTTTCTCTCTGTCCAGGTTATTCAGCAGGCATGACCCTCAAGCCGAAGAGGCTCTGGCCAAAAGAAGGGGTCGTAGTAGCCCAAATGGCAACCTTGTTAAAATGTTGGTGCTATTTTTTTTGGAAAGCGAGGTAAGAAGTTAGTAGCTTTAAATAAAATGTTCTTTTTGTTTTTGTGTATGTCTTGACCGAAGTTGCAGCACCTTTTCTGAACTCTTGAAAAAGGAGGAGGGAAACCCATATTTTTATTGAAAGATTGTCCATCTCAGCATCTTTATTAAAAATACAATTGGCATAACACATTGTAAAGGTTCTGCATATGTAACTAAATGCTAGCAGGAATGCAGTTTGGATACTCTGTCCAAACAGATATAGTGAGTAAATGACTGTAGCTATATGCCCTGCACTACCACCAAAGGAACGCAAGGTGTTACATTACTTTTTTTTTATAAACTATCCTCCTTTCAGGCATAGTCTGTAATATTAAACAAATGTATAGCCTAGTATTGTGTAATTGCTCGCAAAGTGCTGTCAGGCAAAATCAGACCTAAAAGTGTAGATTTGCAGTGAAAGAATTCGACACAATTGCAGTCTGTGAATTTGCACCCATGTATACTTAAATATAACTGTAAAAACCGATTGAGAAATACAGTGCTAATTTAATGTACATAAACTCTGTTCTGTGTGATCTTATCATATATACATTTTTCTCTTTCAGTTGCATGAGCATGCAGCCTATTTAGTGGATAGTTTGTGGGAAAGTTCTCATGAGCTTCTGAAAGACTGGGAATGCATGGCGGAGCTGCTGGTGGAAGAGCCAGTCCAAGGGGAGGAAGGTAATCCTTATAAACCCAGTCATACCTTGCGTTTAAGTGCTGTAAAATAATTCAATAAATTTTGTCTGCAAAAGCCCAGCACACTGATCTCCTGTTGTATGTATCCTGGTGTTGCTCTGTTGGCTAGGATATACAAAACTGAATCAGGCACGCTCAAGGAATTTGTTAATCAACTACATTCTTCTTTAATCCAAAGGTGAATTTACAATGGATACCTACCACACGTAAAACGTCAGATATATATATAAGCTAATGACCATGAGAAAAAGGGTTCATAATTTGGTGATGTCACCACATACCTTTTTAAGTAGTAAACATAATGACGTAAACGCTGGACATTTCATAAAACTGGATAGTGACCGTTTACGGATTAGACCATGAATGGAGAGCAAAATGTACCTAAACCCAAGTGAATTGTAAAGTATCTGCTACTCACCAATATGGAATAGAACTAGAGGTAAATACACATGTAAGAAAATTTGCAAATATAACAATGTATAAGTTGGATATAAAAAGGATACATGCAGCCACTAGTGGCAAAATCTAGAGGACTGTTCCATAAATCCTTATGCAAAGGTACAATAACTGTTTTGAAACACAAAAACATTGCTAATAAAAAGATATAAAAGGAAGCTAATGAACCATCTACAATCGAGGAAGCATTTCAAAGGATTAATTTTGTTTAACCCTCTGGGGGCCAAGGTGTGCATTGAAGATCCAGTAAGATTCTCTTCTCAGCAGGTTAACGTATGTCACCTCCTCATGGGTATAGGGGGACCTGGTCAATGCCCATGACCCTGAGCCTCGGCCGAGTATGTCTCACCTGTTGAAAATGAAAATGAAAATCCAGTGCACTCCTTTATCTACTAAACAGCAACTTTGGTGTTGACAGATTTTGTTAGTTTTTTTAAAAACACCAGCTGAGTGGAGTGGCCTTCAAGTATGGCAGATCTAATGGGCTAACGATGTCCATGGAGCCTTTCCCACAAGTCACTGTGTATCTGCTATACTTGAAGGCAAATCCACTCAACCGGTGGCCATACATTTTGAACAGGTGGGACATACTCTACTGATGCTCAGGGTCATGGGCATTGACCATGCTATTCTATCGCCATGAGTAGGTGACTTACGTTAACCTGCTAAAAAAATTTACTGGATCTTCATTGGGCACCTTGGCTTTCAGTGGGTTAAACAAAATTAACACTTTGAACTGTTTCCTCAATTGTAGATGGTTCATTGGGGGTTTGAGGGTTCCATGATGTTGATACACTATGTCAAAGGGTTCCATGGGAAAAATGAATTGGGAACCCCTCGTCTAGAGATTACGTCGTTATGTTCACTACCTTATATGTAAGTGATGACTGACTTCACCGGATTATGTAGCCTCTTTCTCACAATCTCCCTCATTTTCTTCACCATTCGTTTACAAATATCTGCCTTTTTACACATGGTAGGTGTCTTGATAAAGACCTTATGAGACTGAAACCTTCATTGTGAATTCACCTTTTTAAAACCACTAAATTCTTCTTTAATCCAAATTCCTCAAGTGTGCCTCATTCTGTTTTTTTAATTTATTTTACATCCTAGTTTATAGCGCAGCACCGGAGTAAATATCTATTATGGAGATATAAATGAACAGATTGATATTGACATTTTTTATTTATTTATTTTGTTGTTGAAGCGATATGTGATGGCTTTATTTACATAATGCGTATTATTTGGAACTGGCATTTAATTTTTCTCTCTACCAAGTATTTTTGTGAATTATCATACCACTTAACACTTTGTTACATAGTTTTTAACGCAGCTTTAAAATAAAATTGAAATAATTGTTTTTTTTTTTATTATTATTTTTAGTCATGTCTGAGCGCCAAGAGACTGCATTGATTGAGCTCATGGTCTGTACAATACGTCAAGCTGCAGAAGCTCACCCTCCTGTTGGAAGAGGAACTGGCAAAAGGGTATGGATTACATGTTGTATGAGTGTTTTCTTTACACTTCTTTTTATTTCTTATGTTTTCTTACAAAGGACCCTGATTTACTACCTTTTCTTTGTTGTTCTTGCTGTTGTAAAACGGCATTTCTAGGGTGTTCACTCTAGAACCAAAAGTAGAAACAAATCTTTTTAAATTTCACATGTGTAAAATCAGAATATCCGTTTCCTAATTAATGTCCCTTAGTAGATGGAAGAGGTACAGCAGTCTCTTGTGGGAGCAGCCCTTGTTAGATAGTACATTTCATGAGTTTATCGAACCAGTGACCAATGTACATTGTGAAAACACAATAAGACACTCTTAAAGGAAAACTAGAACATTAGTCTGTCTGCCACTAGAGGCATTCTTAGTCATTGCATGACTAAGGGGGGCTAGGACACTTTCTCCAGACCACATCAATGAACTGAAGTGGTCTGGGGTGCCTATAGTTTCCTTTAAATTGTCCCAAAGTATTACACCTTATACACAATTGAATTACATTATCGCAGTCATAGCCACAGAGTAGGAAACGTTTTCTGGTGATGGCCAGAGAGAACTCGGTAAGGGTTAGAGTAATTGAAAAAAAAATATTTTCACAAGATCAAAAATGTTTTGTTTAAAAAAAAAAAAAAAAAAAGCATTAGTGATGATAATAGAGGTTAGAGGTTAATTGTGTTCATTTGTATTATAGGTGTTAACAGCGAAGGAGCGAAAAACTCAGATAGACGACAAGAACAAGCTGACAGAGCATTTCATTGTTGCACTGCCAATGCTGCTGTCTAAGGTTTGTTTTCTAATTGTGGTATAAAATAACTTGCTGTAGGTACTATTCTGGAGGCTGTTGTAGTGTCACAATTTGCCATGATCTGTATGAAAGGTATGAAATTATTTTCCTTCACCCCAGTTCTTCCTATGAAAAACATGCAATGTTTGCTTCTGTCTTTAAATGTAGGACGCACAGCAAAAATAAAAACCTAAATTAGAACAAGACTTGTTTATTACCTAAAATAGCATTTACTTTTGTCTGTAATGTGGAAGTAATTGAGATTGGGCAATTATTCCTGGTCTTAAACATCCTACTGCCTTGTCCATAAAACAGAGTGCAAAGATAAATCCCTTTTAGAATATACTTTTGGCAAGTTAAGGCTGATGGTAAAGGTTTTGCCCATTTGTACAGCATTTTGTTGAAAAAAAGTACCCTGGCATGATTCCCAATTTTTAGAAAACACTCTAGAAAAGCAAAACCTACTTATAGGTTACTATACAGTCTGCAAATCGTGCGGTGGATGTGAAGTTTGATCCGTTAGAATAGAAGCTTCTCTGGGTATACAATAGAGGGTTTTTAAAGCACTAACTAGGTTAACATCACACATATAGAAGTTCACTGACTTTGCAGTTCCAGTTTGAGACGAGGGATATGTAATAAAATCTCAGATTCGTTTTTGGATCAGTTAACTGCAACATCTTTAGTTTTTTTAAGGTCCATGGGCTGTGCGTTAAGGACAGAAGCAAACTTAATTTTGACTTTTTCACAATACCCAATCTAGTGAATTATAAATGAAACTGTTGCAATATCTACTTAAATTACTCTGGTAGCATTAAATCCTAGCCTGCCACTTATCAACATGTTTAAGATGCTCCTTGTGGCTGTTTCTGGAATTACATTTCACAAATTCTGCTTTATTTCTACTGCAAATAAGCCAAGCTCCCACTGTTGTGTGTAATTTTGGAATCTGATGATTTTTCATTGTACTGTTACAAAACCAAAAATTAGTTATATGCATTATATCACAAATCCTTAAGCATATTTAAGACATTTACCACTACATTAACTATTAATGTGCACGCTCATGTACCAACACCAAAGCAAACCCCTTATCTGAGTGATGCTGACAATAACCTTTCTTTCTGTAAAAAGGCAAAATCTCTGAGATGGATATTTTTAATATCCATCTCAACTAATTAAAGCAACAATCAAAGCACTAGAACACGGCCTACAGCATGTTGTAGTGGTTATGGTGCCAAAATTGTCCTGTCCAGTGAGCATGGTCCTTCATGGCCTTGTTTAGTTTTGTAATTTGTTGAAACATACTGAAATTATTTGATTACTGTGTGACAGTAATATGGAGCTTTAGGCACCAGAACGATTACAGCAGGCACGGATAGTTCATTTAACCCTAAAAGGGTTGGCACCACAATTGCATAATCTCATTGAAGTGGTTATAGTGTCTGGAGTCATTGGCACTTTACTTCTATTCAGCATTAAACTGTTTTTAATTTTTTAATGCAGCTTCTCATTTGTGATGCTTGGTCTAGTGAGGAAGTGTTGGCCTGATCAGCAAAGGGCAGCTATGTTTGGCTCAGTGTCAGCTGGCTGCATTCAGCCTATCATAGTGCCATTTTAAGTACAGGTATGAATCAATTTGGCTAGAAGAAGTGCGTAATCTCTGTTTTAGCCATACCTCAATTGGGGGCAGAGCCATGGGAAAGGCCCTCAGGTCGTTTCGTGACGGCTGCATCGTAGACTCCTCAAACGTCATCCAGAGAATAAACTACTTATGCATTGAGCTCCCTGCACACATTAAGCCTGCTCTGTAGGAAAGCATTGAATCAATCCTTTCCTATAAGGATTTAGAATATGTTGGACATCCTTCTGCAAAACGTAAGGATGTCCAGCATCATTTTATGGAGTTAAAGTTAGTGAAAAGGCATGAAGCACTGGTAGACAGCCACTAGAGGCGGTCTTAACCCTACAATAAAAACATTGTTTTCAGCTGTAGGTTAATGGATTGTATACCCGGACCACTTTAATGAGAGGACGTGGTTTGAGTGCCTGTAGTGTCCATTTAAATAATCCTTTTGTTTAAAATTACTATTATTGAAGGCAGTAATGGCCATTGTTTTCATCAGCACACAAGTTGCAACCTGGGACAGATAGGAGGCCCTGCAACAGTTTATATCTTAATTGTCTTTGTGAGTTAACCAAATTTTATTTATTTGGTTGTTACAGTATTCTGCTGATGCTGAGAAAGTTGCAAATCTTCTTCAGATCCCTCAATATTTTGACCTGGAACTTTATAGCACTGGGAGAATGGAAAAGGTATGTGAACAAATCTGCCCTTTATGTATTAAATATATTTTTTTCAATTTGCCACTCAGTGGGGGGGGGGAGGGGGGGGGTTATTCTACATTACTCCATCTGATTTCCTTTTAACATTTATTAACATATAATTATGCTGATATTAGTTGTTACATAGATTTAAAGGGACACTATAAGCACCAAAACAGCTTTAGCTTAATGGAATGGTTTTGGTGTATAGATCATGACCCTGCATGATCTATACACCACTGCTCAGTTTTAGGAGTTAAATCACTTTATTTTATACAACCTTAGTCAAACCTCCCCTGGATATGACAGTCTCCTGTAAAGAGAGATCCAATGTTTAAACTTCCTTTATTTCTGTTTATTGTAGAATTCCTTATCACTAATTATGTTAATAGCCTACATGAACCTCCTATGTGTGATTTAAAGTTGAATTAACAGAACATGAGGTAAAAACTACAATTAAGAAAACACAGTGCTGAATGAAAATGAAACCATATTTTTCATGCAGGTATCACATGTAAATGAGTCACAGCCAGGGGACATGTGACTAGGGCTGCATGATTTCACTCGTAAAGGGCATGATCTATACACTAAAACTGCTTTGTTACACCAATGTTGTTTTGGTGTTTAGAGTATTGCTTTAACACATAATTCTACAGTGTGTTACTCATTCATAGAATACGAAGATGAATATTAATAATTATCATGTCAAATTATTTGACAAAATGAATTTAGGACCACTTTAAAGTAAACCCATCTTACAACATTGCAGGAAGGCATTATATAGATAATTGTATAGGCTAAACTAATCTGGGTCCCTTTGCACTTTGGTTCTTAGTGAGTTTAATCCAAAAAAAAGTCTCTGTATAGTGTAACTACTTGGTTATTTTCTAACCCTTAAGTACCGCTTTTGTAAACTGTTGTAAACACATGTGCTTTTCTGACCCCTGCTCTGTTGCAAATGTAGCACTTGGACAGCTTGCTGAAGCAGATAAAGTTTGTTGTGGAGAAGCACACAGAGTCCGATGTGCTGGAGGCATGCAGTAAAACATACAGCATACTATGCAGCGAGGAGTACACTATCCAGAACCGTGTGGATGTAGCACACAGCCAGCTAATTGATGAACTGGCTGACAGATTCTCACACGCTGTGGAGGAGCTGCTCCAGGAGGTAGATACACACCTGCACAATGTGTTGGTCTTGTTTCCGGCATGGTTTCTTGATATTTCTGGTTGCTAGACTATTAATTCAATTTATTTATGTAGGTGGCGTAAAATGGGAAAACTTGGATGATAACCATGGGTAGTCGAACTTTGCATTTGAATCAGTTTTCCTCTTGTGTGATATGGGTATTCTATTCCAATAACAGGGGGGCATTTTGGCCATTGCAGAGCAGGAGAACATCGTTTAGGACCAAACTCGATGATGTGGGTTTTGGGTTATTTTTTATTATTATTTAGGAGCCAAAGATGATGTGCATCTGTTCAATAAAAGATCAATAAAATTAATGTAAAAAGGTTGAGACTGACCATTCTTTTAGTTCAGTGATTTTATATCCGTGCCGTTATGGACATAAAGATTCTTAAGTGGTCATAATTGCAGGCTGGTTTATGGTTTGCATTCATTTCAATGTGTGATTCAGTTGTGAACGTGCAGCTCATATATAGTTAATGAATTGGCCGTTGCCTCATTAAATGCCTTGGGACCTAATTGGAGATTGATGCAGTGAACCATTATTTTACTCTGATTAGCAGCTTCCTAGTGTTAGCTTTTCAATCTAATAGGATAAAAAAATACAATCATCAAACTTAATTAACCAACATGATCTTCAATTAATTCTTTCCAGTCTTTTAATCTACGTTAATGTCTAGATGTGATTTAAAGTCAATAGTGTTCGGTGCTGCAGAGTTTGCCGAAGTTTTTTTAAAAGTAAATGTATCCTAGCCTTGTTTAACAATAACAACAAGGAAATGTTGTATTGCTATAGCCTTGTAAACCACATCAACAATCCAATGTTTACACTAGGTTAAAAATACAGCTAATGCATACTCACAGTTCAAAACTCCTCTTGAAGAAAATTTTGTTTAGGAACTTTGGTGTCTTCTCTAATGAGATGACAATGTCTGGTGACATTCAATAACATGCCTAACACAGTGTCAGTGCACGTCTGGTTTACAGGACATTATAAAGCTAGCCAGGAGAATGTATGCTGTCAGTCTTTGCTCACAGAGACATAAGTGGCCTCTAGTGATTTGACTTAAATGCTCATTAACCTGTGTATTTTTTTTTTTTCATATATTTTTTTACACCAGGCAGAAGAAGCAGATGAAGATGATATCTACAATGTACTGGCCTCATTAAAACGGTTAACGTGTTTTCACAAGTAAGTACACCTCTTTCTTTTAAGTGACTACATCCTTTCAACCCTGCTCTTCATACTGACAATAACTGAGGTTTCACAGCTGCCTATTATAAATCCCTCCCCCTTGCCCCAATTAGATCATTGTGTAGTCTTTGAGGAGAACATTGAATGAGCAGCCCGGGGTTGCTGATAATGTACAATGCGGATTATATTGTAGACATTTTGGAAACAAAAAAAAAAATCTTAAAGTAAGTTAAACTACAAACCGTGTATTCATTTTTCTCTTTTCACCCCTTGAATAGCCTTGCTGCAAGTGGTTTGTTTTTTGTGTGTGTGTTTTTCCCCAAATTTATGTGATAAAGAATGTTTCCCTTTAAAGTAAACTCATCGTATAAAATTAAAAGATGGCATTGTATAGATAATTGGTTACAAATGCTAATATGGCCATTTAGTCTGAGTTGAATATTCCCATGTATTTGTCATCTACGTAGACACTACACTAAACTATTTCTACATTGATTTAGTGGGTTTAGCACACTCTTATTCCCAAAACGCAATGTGCATATTGGTATTATGATTATGTGGCTGCTTGCGCATTCTACTATACAATCCAGGAAGGTAAATTCAGATGTGTATATGCCTGAGATTTCACTAACTCGCTGTAAAAACATTTTTGTTTCTACTTCCATTGTAATATACCCACTAGTGAATGATAGATTAACTTTTTCTTGCTCTGTGGTGGTTAACCTGTTTTTTTGTTGTTTGTTTTTTGTTAATTGCAGCGCTCATGATCTCACTAAATGGGATTTGTTTGGGAACTGTTATAGGCTACTGAGAGCTGGGATTGAACACGAAGGCATGATAGAACAGGTACAGAAAACATTAGTTCTTTAAATGCACTTTTTGCATTAAAATATTAGTGGAGGGGGAGTAATCATTTTTTCCTAATTTGCAGATTGGGGTCCAGGCTCTACAGTGCTCCCACTACTCCATACTTTGGCAGCTGGTGAAGATCACAGAAGGCAATCCTTCCAAAGTAAGTAGATCAGCCATATATTTGTTGTTTGAGCTTGGTGGATGTCAGGCAAACTGCTTTGTCCTCTGGTTGATGTGTTGTCTGTCTGTGATGGAAACCTACTTTAGTGGATGCATCCTTACTGGGCCAAATGTCCCCATGTAGATTTTGTTCAGTAATGATAGTCTTATGTTTAGTGCAGGAGTTGTTTAATTTCTCACATCCCTGGAAAATTTCTGTTTGATCACCGTGTAATACGCTACACTGGCATACAAAGCTGTCAGTCACTTGGCATATGAAAAATATGTTCTATTAGGAATGGTTTACTGTTTTATAGTAATCTGGGAAGAATTTTAATTAATGGGACACTATAGTCAACAGCGCTGCGGAATCTGTTGGCGCTTTATAAATACCAGTAAAAAATGAATGTAAAAAAAAAACAGAACAACTACAGCTTATTGAATTTGTTCTGGAGAGTATAATCATTCCCTTCAGGCTTTTTGCTGTAAACACTGTCTTTTCAGAGAAAACACAGTGTTTACATTAGAGCCTAGTGATAATTCCAGTGGCCACTCCTCCTTGACCGTCTCAGCCAATCCAATGCTTTCCCATGAGAAAGCATTGTGATTGCCTTTGAATAACATTTCTGATGATGTCATCAAAGCTGGTAGTTTAGGGGCAGAGACCACAACAGACTGCAATAAAAGTAAGATTTGTACTATATTTAGAGAGGCAAGGGGGGTGGGGAGGTGGGAGGGGGTTAACACTATAGGGTTAGGAATACAGGTTTGTGTTAATCACCCTATAGTGTTCCTTTAAATTTATACCCCCATATCTGCACAGGATTAGTGGTGGATATATTTTAAGAATCAGTTGTCAATGTTTGAGTTAGGCTGTGGATAACCAAGTGATCTTGTTGATTTATAGGAAGACATGTTGGCGTTGAGAAAGACTGTTAAATCCTTCTTGGCTGTCTGCCAGCAGTGTCTGTCTAATGTCAATACAGCTGTGAAAGAGCAGGTAACTATCGTGAATATTTTTCTAGGTGTTCTGTTTTTGGGATTTCCACTACAACCCATCTAAGCTTCTCCAACTAAAAAACTGTAGCCAGTCTTCCCGCAAACTGATGTTGGCAAAGCACCATGGGAGTTCAGCAACACCTGAAGGATCAGTGACATACTTGATTTATGTACCATGAATTACCATTATATTTATTTTTCCCCCCAGGCATTTATGCTTCTCTGTGACCTTCTAATGATCTTCAGCCACCAGTTAACGGCAGGTGGTAGAGAGAATCTAATGCTTCTGGTATTTAATCCGGACCTGGGACTCCAGTCCGAGCTGCTCAACTTTGTCATGGATCATGTCTTCATTGATCAAGATGATGAAAACCAGAGCATGGGTAGGCAAGGTTTCTTGTGTAAAAGCCTAATATTTGAACATAATAAAGATAGCCGCACTCAATCCCAGCAGCCACCCAGTGCTCAGGAGCAGGACCAGCAATCCCACAATGATAAGACAAAAAAAAAAAATTCTCCAGGCACTCAAGCTTGACAAAGATCTCTTAGCAGGTCGAAACGTTGCTGCTTTTGCCTGTTCTATTAAAACTGTCTGCAGTTTGAACACCCTGAGTGTCTTTAGAATTTTTATTTTTTATTTTTTTTGCCTAATATTTGGACATAGTCACTTACAGGCCTGGCTATGTCAGCTAGGGAACACCTCCTTTGTACAGCTCAAATGTACTTTACAGAGGAGTGAATTTGGAATGCACTGCACCAACACCAAAACCCAATCATGCCTCCTGACATCATTAATGATGTTATAATCTCACTTTTATTGTGTATAGATTTAAAAGGACAAATACTTTTTCAATTTCAGAAGGAGATGAGGAAGACGAAGCCAACAAAATCGAGGCCTTGCACAAGAGGAGAAACTTACTCGCAGCTTTCTGCAAACTGATCATTTACGACATTGTAGATATGCACGCGGCAGCTGACATCTTCAAGCACTACATGAAGGTAGGATAGCTAATGTCCTACACACTATATAAGAAGACTACAAAGTATCCTATGTTATCCAAGCTTTGGCGGTAAAATGTCATCTTTGTCAAATTCCAATGGTGACACAAATTTCAAATTCTCACTAATCAGCCTTGATATGCTGCCATGGGTTTTTACTTTGATTGTCATGTTTCCTTACTCCTTTCATGGTGGTTGGAATTAAATAAAGTCTTAGCGTTGTCTGAACCGAGACTGCCGATGGTTTCTAATATCTGTTGTGACTTGTCAATGCCTAAACTATCATATATATATATATATGTGTATGTATGTATAAATTTTATTATATTTCAATATAAAACAGACATAACAGTCAGAAATCTTATCATTGAACAATCCAGTTCTTATACGTTTTCTGAAGTTGAGTTTCTGACAAAAGCATAACATAATTAAATACATACAAGTCTATACAAAACAATACAATCTAAAATCTAATCCTTTCTATCATGGTTCATAGCTTCCAATCAGTTGAATTTCTGGCTATCCCCCTTTTTAGGGAGATTTCTCATATGATCTAGAAATTGATCCTTCTAGGAGGGAAAATTGTAGCAAAGCTGATCTAGATTTACCTTGTTCACTTGACTTATATGAGAAATTTTACTGCAAAGCTGGATTTTCTTCTCTAATCACTTCAACATTTTTAGTATATATCCATATAGGCAGCACTATTTATGTATTCTATTTATTTATTTTTGAGATGAGATGACTTTGACTACCTATTGAATAACCACAATAGATGTTTCAGCTTGTTGTTCTGATTTGAAACCAGTAATGATGTTTTAATATATTTCACTGTAAAGTTGGTTCTTTTTAATAAAGGCCCTAAAAAGACCAAAATGTTTTGATAATGTTTATATGATTAATATTCCTTAAACTCTAGCTTATAAAAGATTTAGAATCTATGGATTCTCAGAAATGCTGAACTATTTTATATCTGATTGCAATACCTTTAAAAGGGGCCATGGCTGTAATTTTCTAGGGTCTTTCAAACGCTTTATGTTAATATTTGTCAAATGCAACCTTGTGCCCATAACATCAATAATGCTGGTTGCAAAACATGCTGTAAATTTCTGGTTTTATAGTATTAATCACTAGTAAGTGCAGAGTTTATCAGTATGTTTCATTACATTTAGATGTAGTGAAATCTCTTGGAGAAGATGGTAAATAAGAGAAAGCAATGGCCCAATTAATTGGCCTACGTTTGTAAAGAGCAATTTTGGGGCACAGTTAAAAATGCAACTATCTACAGGAACATTATATAGCTTTCCACGATGATTGCTCCACATCTAAAACTTTGCCCTTGGTATACTATCCATTGTGTTTACAGCAAACCAAGAATGAGCAGTGTTTTATTTTTCTGTTGCTATAGAGAAAATATTTATTTCTTCATTACTGCACAGGGATTATAAACAAATATAAACTTGTTTTATGCAACTTTTTTGCAGTATTACAATGACTATGGGGACATTATCAAAGAGACCCTTAGTAAAACACGACAAATTGACAAGATCCAGTGTGCCAAGACTCTGATTCTCAGCTTACAGCAGGTAAGGAATCCTTTGCGATACCACTTTCACCAGTTCTCATTTAACCAATTAGAGACTTACTGAGGGGTGCTTGCTCTATGCACTGAATTCATAGAGGAAATACTGCATGTTTAATTGTGCAGTTGAAATATGATTTTCTGTGCCTTCAACTAATTTGTTTAGCATAAATGTTCCTGTTTAAATGTAAAGTTTGTTTGGTGTATTTACACATGTGTGTGTACAGGATAATATTTTATAATGTTGGGTTTATGCACTAAGCACCAAATTGTAGTGAGCAAATCGGCTGTTGTAGTCTAAGGGTTTTTTTTTTTTTTTTCTACAATTTGATGTGTAGTGAATAAGCATCCTGAATGTTACTGTACATTTATTATGTGAGCATGGAAACTGTTTTAAATCGATAGGAATATCATGTAGCATTTTAAATCCACTCGAAAGCAAGTTGTAGAGAAATGTAGGTTTCACTCCAAATACAAACCTTTGTTTTACAGGTGAACGACGTTATTCATTAGTAACAATTCTGTTTTTTTCATTTTACAATTCTATAGTTGTTCAACGAGTTGGTGCAAGAGCAAGGACCCAACCTGGATAGAACATCTGCTCACGTCAGTGGAATTAAAGAGCTTGCTCGCAGGTTTGCACTAACGTTTGGCTTGGATCAAATCAAGACCAGAGAGGCGGTGGCCACGTTACATAAGTAAGTCATGTTATTTCCTAGTGTGAGGTCTAATATGCAAATGTGTAGTATCTGTTATTGATTTACTCATATGAGATATTTAAAGTTGGTTTATTGAGAATCCAGTTCATGGCAGAGGATAAAAACATGGCAGAAATAAAAAATATATATATGTCTCAATATGTGAGTGCATATAGAGTGTGTTTGAATATTTACTCAGGAGATCACCTCTAATCCATTTCATGGACAAAATTGGGTCTTAACACGTTTCTGGTACATTGTTGTAGGATATGTTTAGTTGTTTTGTACCATCTGTGTTCATTTACAGAATGCAAGCAACCACAAGGCTTTCACTTTTTATTAATTCTTCCTGTTTACATTTATTTCAGTAAATACATGTTGTCTTCAGCTTGGATACATTACTCTAATTCTTTGTTAACACTAAAAAAATTAAGACACTTTAAGTAAGTTTGACCTCAATTTACTAAGCTTTCTGAAAGATTCATTACTGCTAGAAAAACTTTCTAAATTCCTTATTTACAATATTCCCATAAACATTAATGGTGACTTCTGTAGATAAATACATTTTGAATGGATTTCTAACCGTATTGAATGATTTAAAACATTTATTAAATGGTCTTATTCAGCATTTCTGTTCCCTATTTGACATATAGTACACATTTAATGCACTGTTACGGAGTAGAGTCTTTCCATTGAATCAGGTTTTGCTTTCTTATAAGGACTTTTGTGCTAAAATTGCATTTTCCCCCCAAACACAGAGATGGAATAGAGTTTGCTTTCAAATACCAAAATCCCAAAGGCATGGAGTATCCGCCACTGAACTTGGCCTTCCTGGAAGTGTTGAGTGAATTTTCTTCCAAACTCCTGCGGCAGGACAAGAAGACTGTGTAAGTGGAATATGTTTATAACAACCATCCACCTCACATAGTACTTCCATTCACTTATGATCTGCCCCAGTTTCCTTTGAAAGATCTCAGAGGAGACCCGTTAAACACCATTTCAATGGAAGTGTGTCTTATAATTGAAAATGTACCTTTCTTTGGTATTCAGTTGTGTAAAATTGCCAAGAGGTAAAGGTGTCTCATTGAAGAGAACGTTTTACTTGTTCAATGCCAAAAGAACAAGATAGAAATGTGTCTTGCATGTTAAAAAAAATGTTTTTAAAAATTTCAGCTGTAAACAAATTTTCAGTAAAACCACCTTTTGTGTTTACAGTTGTTTAAATATCACACTTGATGTTTCTAATCCATGTTAACAACTTTCTCTTGCTCAGACATTCGTATTTGGAAAAATTCCTTGGTGAACAAATGATGGAGAGAAGAGAAGATGTGTGGCTTCCACTAATATCATATAGAAACTCTCTGGTCACTGGGGGTGATGAGGACAGACTGTCTGTGAACAGTGGAGGCAGTAACAGCAAAAGTTCTTCCATAAGGAGTAAGAAAGGTCGTCCTCCATTGCACAAAAAGAGGATAGAAGGTAAGGTTAATGCTTCAATGCAAATACAAGCAGGTTAACCACTAGAAGTTATATTAGCAATAGTGTATTTACGTATAAATAGGTCCCCTTCTAGAAATCTGTTGAATAATGTCCCAAGAAATATTGTTACAAACGTATCATTTATAATCCATTTCTTTTGCCGTTTTCCCAGAACCATATTTAGATCCTGTAGGTGACAAAAAAATTATTTTTTAGAGAAAAGTAACGGTTACCTGTGTAATTTGGTTTTCAGAGGAGACTATTGACAATTCGTGGGTAACCAGAAATGACACTATTCAGACTCCAAGCGCACTTACTACACCGCAGTTGACATCCACTGTACTTAGGGAAAACCCCCGTCAAATGCCTGAGCAGATGCCCGAACAAGAATCCGAACATGGCTCCGAACCAGATTTCTTACACAAGTAAGTAAACCTTATGGCTGCAGGCAGTCTGTGCAAAGGGCTTTTTTTTTTCTTTTCTTTTTTTTTTTTTTTTTCAAAACTTTCCCCTCAAATATATTTTTTTAATAGTGGCCTCAAATAGCCACTATTTCTGTGAATCCTAAAAGGGTCCTGAAGGACAAAAGCTTGTGTCATGGGGCTAATGCTTATATCTCTAGAGTAAACACCAGCTTATTCTTTAGAGGTTTCCACAATCTGTTTTTCAGATTGAGAATGTGTTTCCTAGTGTATTATTTTTTTAATTTAATTTTTTTAAGAATTTCCGCTGTCACGCAACTTCCCAAATGCAGACATTAGTCTCTCCAACTTGTTGCTGTGATCAGATTTCCCCCCTTTATCCCTCTCCCAGTCTCTTCCTCATCTATCACATGCTTTGCTGGCACTCGACACTTTGTACAGACAGGCTGCTTAGTAAGAATTACTTTATTTGGAATGTAGTGTAGATAACTCTGAAAAGAAAATACATAACCCTCTTTTCCTCCCACATCTCCCGTAGCCCACAGATGCAGATGTCGTGGTTGGGTCAGCAGAAGTTAGAAGATTTAAGTCGAAAAGACAGAACATCAATGAACTACATGAAAGTGCGGAGTGGCGTAAGGCACCCAGTGTGAGTGAAACATACAAAATGCATGCTTTGTTAGTCTGCAAACACAGGATAAAACCGAAACGTTTCACACGTAGCCAGCCCATGGTTAATAACATTTTTCTGCTTGTGTTTACATTTTGGACATGTAAATCTGTATGGAAGCGCTATACTTCTATATTTTTAAAATGTAGCATTTACCAGCTTGTACAGTAATCTATCGCTTGGCATAAAGTATGTGAACAACCCAGGTGTGAGCTTCCTATGCAGGATGCAGTTGAAGTTGTAAATGCTTTTTGTCTCCTTTGTACAGTTATCACAAATGGCTGTATTCTGTCTGTGCCATGGGAGGGAAGACAAAAGAACAGAGCCCCCTGTAATGAGCTCTTCAATAAATGATCACAGAGAGCTAATCAGTTAAACTTGTCCTGCCTGGAGACAAGAATGTTAAACAATTATCTTTCCTGTACTAGGAATGAATTTAGTTTGCTTATGAACACGTATTTTGTTCCTTTTGTAGCAAAGCTCCTGGCATATGTTCAGCTACCTAAAATATGATGGATAATTGTGTACCCAATGGCCATCAGATATATGGCAGTACTGTCCTTTAGTAATCATTCCATGATTGGCTAAAATTGGGCTAAAGATACTTTTTACATTCAATGTTAACATGTTCCCATATAGTAACTGAATACTGCTTGCTGCTGAATCTAAGTCAGCTATAGAATACTCCAGCATTATTTATAAACATTTGTTTATAACACTGAAATGTTCCTTATTAGGGAGCAACCAATATTGATTTTTTTTTTATTTTTTTTTTAGAGCAGATACAGATAATCTGTGAACTTTGAGGTCGATCGTTTAACACTATTCTGTATATTTTTACCATTTATTTTTTTTTAAATTCTTTATTTTTTTCCTGTGCACAAGATAATACATAGGTTTACAATGCCACGACAGCATTAGTAAACAGCGATAACAGTGTAGAACATATATGAGACATGAGAAAGTGGCACAGTTTTTAAGTATATTAATACACAGGCTAGACTTGCTTGTTTTAACTTTATAGGAGTGAAGGTAGATGCAGGTATAAAACAATTGATGGTAAAGGCCTTGCTTAGTATGTGTTGCTCGATAACAAGATTAATAGGCAAGGTCAAAATTATTAAGGCATATACATTGTTTGTTCAAACCGTTTAGTTGTATTAGGTAAGTTAGTAGGCTCATTATAAAACAATAGATAACGTATAAGCTTTTGCTGACTAGTCTCGCTTATCTGTCTGGGTGTTTAGATTGAGTCTGCAGTTCGCTGTCCGACAACAGGCTTGTGAAAAGGAAATGAAATCAAAGACTTAAATCATAGTTAAAATAGGTTAGGTACACATTTTGCATTACTGAGTTGGCTGACAAAATGGTAGGGTGCACTCGATACACTCTCATGGCTAGCAAGGTACTGGGCTATGAAGTCAGTGGGTTACACACTAGTTGACAAAGCACTTATTGCAAAGCTACAGAAATGAGGCAGACATAGGAAAAAAAATAAATCAAAAGGTGCTAAATAGTAGAAATCAACGAAAACCTTGCTCATCTGCATGAAAGAGTCCTTAGCAGTCAGGAATTAAGCATGGCAGCAGAATGGGTAAGATCAACAGGTGTCCCAATGAGGCTTATAGCGGGTGCGGGACCTAGGTAGCCAGTTTTATGTTGGCTACTCAGCCAACGCCAGATCTTGAGGCCCGCAGCTCGGTAGCAAGGATCCACTCTGTGACCGGGTGGGCTGCTGCAGGGTTATGCCTATGCTGGGCTCTCCACCATCTCCCGGCTTCAGTGGGGGCTTGCATCCCTGAGCCTCGGGCTTGGGTGTTCTCAGGAGCAGAGGCCCTGCACCGTCTGGAGACAGTAGGGGGTCCAGCCGTTAAGGACCGTTGGCGGCAGGCTGTCTTCCGCTTTTGCGGTGAAGTCGCTGAGGCTTTGCCTTTGGTAGGTCTAGGCACTGAAGGGCAGGCATTGAGTTGAACCGGTGCTGGTGTCGCGTGTTTGCCTTGAGGAGGGCTGTTCGGTTTTGTTAGGATGGTTCCCATGCTGGCTGCACTATGCTTAGTGATGGGAGCTTGTGCCAGTTCGTGTATACGTGCCCAAAAGCTCTGGAATATTTAGTTGAGCTTGTGCAGTGTGTGCTCCAGTGACCCGGGGTGAGGTGGTTTAGGCAGGCCCAGTGCTCCTTGTGCAGTGGAGGGGGCTGTCGCCATTTTGCCTGAGCCACGTGGTCGGAGTTCAGCTCTTCTGAAGCCAGAAAGCGTAGTTAAGTAGTTACATAGCTGAAAAGAGACTTGCGTCCATCAAGTTCAGCCTACCTCACATTTGTTTTTTGCTGTTGATCCAAAAGAAGGCAAAAAAAACCCAGTTTGAAGCACAATTTTGCAACAAGCTAGGAAAAAAATTCCTTCTTGACCCCAGAATGGCAGTCAGATTTATCCTTGGATCAAGCAGTTATTACCCTACATTGAAAGATTATATCCTTGAATATTCTGTTCTTGCAAGTATGCATCTAGTAGCCGTTTGAACATCTGTATGGACTCTGATAAAACCACTTCTTCAGGCAGAGAATTCCACATCCTGATTGTTCTTACAGTAAAAAAACCTTTCCTTTGCCTTAGACGAAATCTTCTTTCTTCCAGTCTAAACGCATGGCCTCGTGTCCTATGTAAAGTCCGGTTTGTGAATAGATTTCCACACAATGGTTTGTATTGGCCCCGAATATATTTGTATAATGTTATCATATCCCCTCTCAGACGACGTTTTTCTAAACTAAATAGGTTTAAATTTGTTAAGTACAGCTGGAATCTCATACGATATGCCCGTGAGGACCGGGATAACCCCTACCAGTCCAGGGGGAGGTGGGGGGTATAGGATAGCAGTGAGAATGAGTCCTGGGTCTGGAAACAAGGAGAACAGCTGCTTCTCCCAGTCTCCCCTCCAACAGGCCACAGCAGAGGTGTTCCGGTTCCCCGCCGGTTACAGGCTTGAGTAAGGTCTCGGATTGTGCAGTCGGGTACCGGGGTTCAGATGGTGCCCGTGGGTGGGTTTGGTCGTCTGTTTGTAGGGTTTTTTTTACCCCAAAATGGGCTCGAGATGCGGGACCTCTGATTCCCCACGTCTGCACAGCTCTGAAGCTAGGCTCCGCCCCCCATATTTTTACCATTTTAAGGGGGGGGAAATGAACAAAATATACATGCCAGTCAGATATTTTTTTTGTTTGTTTTAAGAATATTTGTGTGTGTAGTGGATGCAGTGAGAGTATTTGATTAGAAAATGTAGTGGATGCATTCTGTGTGTAAATATGTGCGGTAGGAAATCTCTCTCCTCCTCCCCTGTCCCATAGTATTATTTCCTCCTCTCCTGTCCCATAGTGTTATTTCCTCCTCCCCTGTCCCATAGTTTTATTTCCTCCTCCCCCCTTCCCTACCTCATAGTGTTTTTCATTCTAATTTCAGCCGAGGTCTGATGGAGGATGACGCAGAGCCAATTTTTGAAGATGTAATGATGTCATCGCGAGGTCAATTGGAAGACATGAATGAGGAGTTTGAAGACACAATGGTTATTGACCTGGTGAGTGAGACTTTCCTTGCTCTTTCACTGTGCTAAAGCTCAGTTCATTCACTTCAACCTGATTTAGCAGTTAGGCTTCTTATGATGTAAAACCATGGATCAGGCTGTAACACACATTTCTACTGGTCACATAACTGCTCCCAACATTCTGATGCATTTCACTGATGTCACTCAATGAAAAGGAGCTTTTAGCGAATGAACTAGTTTAGATCAATGCCCATACACTGGAACATGTAGAGTATCTTATTATTATTATTATTATTATTGCCATTTATATAGCGCCAACAGATTCCGTAGCACTTTACAATATTATGAAAGGGGATTTAACTATAAATAGGACAATTACAAATAAACTTACAGGAACAATAGGTTGAAGAGGACCCTGCTCAATCGAGCTTACATTCTATAGGAGGTGGGGTGTAAAACACATTAGGACAGGAATGTGCAATCAAATAAGGTGGGCTGCCCTTTAGGAGAGGGCAAGAGATGGGTATGTGAGGTAGGGGTTAGTCTTGGAGGCCATAAGCTTTCCTAAAGAGATGGGTTTTAAGGCACTTCTTAAAAGATGCAACACTAGGGTAGAGTCGGATGGCGGTAGGCAGTCTATTCCATAGGAAGAGAGCCGCCTGCGAGAAGTCCTGCAAGCGCGAGTTGGCCGTACGGGTGCGGACAACGGACAGGAGGTGGTCACGGGCAGAGCGGAGAGACCGAGAAGGGACATACCTGTGGATCAGTGAGGAGATATAAGAGGGGCTAGAGTTGTTCAGTGCTTTATAGGTGTGAGTTAGTGCCTTGAATTGACTCCTATAGCACACAGGAAGCCAATGTAAGGACTGGCAGAGGGGTGAGGTGTGAGAGAACCGACTAGAGAGGAAAATCAGTCTAGCAGCAGCATTCATTACAGACTGTAGGGGTGCAGTACGGCTTTTGGGAAGACCAAGCAGGAGAGGGTTACAATAATCCATGCGTGAAATTATTAGAGCATGGACAAGCTCCTTGGTAGTATCTGGTGCAAGAAAGGGGCGGATGCGGGCTATGTTTTTAAGATGGAATCTACAGGATTTGGCAACATGCTGGATGTGAGGCTCAAAGGTGAGACCAGAGTCAAGTATGACGCCAAGACAGCGCGCTTGCAAGGATGGGCTGATGTTGGTACCACAAACTTGAAGGGAGAGCGAGAGAGGAGGATCAGTATTAGGAGGAGGAAAGACAAGGAGCTCAGTTTTTGAGAGATTGAGTTTCAGAAAGCGGGAGGACATCCAGTCAGAGATGGAAGAAAGGCAAGCAGTGGCACGTTGCAGGACAGCAGGGGAGAGGTCCGGGGAGGAGAGATATAGCTGGGTGTCATCAGCGTACAGGTGGTAGCAGAAACCAAATGAGGTAATAAGTTTGCCAAGAGAGGCAGTGTAAAGAGAAAATAGAAGGGGACCAAGGACGGAGCTTTGGGGGACTCCAACCAAGACAGGGCGAGGGGAGGAGGTATCATTAGAAAAAGAGACACTGAATGAGCGTTGGGAGAGATAAGAGGAAAACCACGAGAGGACAGAGTCACAGAGACCAAGAGACCATCTTGGGGAAATATTTGTATAGCAACATTAAGCAGTAAAATTATAAATTTGTTTTTGTTTGTGATCACGTAAAAATAATTGGACCCTGTGTGTTAGAAATAGAAAAATGTCAAGCTTACACGTAAAACCTTTCTAAAATAAAAAATTAAACAGAGGGTGGAGGCTGTATGTTTGTATGTATAGAGAGAAAGCACTCATAGGGCTACTTCATGAATGTATTGCTGCATTTATTGAGATACAAACCGTATCGACATTTCACTCCTACACTGGACTGTAATCAGTATGCTAAGAACATGTGTATGTTGTCCTCATAAAGGATGCTAATTACAAACAATGTGTGAGAAAGAGGTGGGGGGAGCGCTGAAACCCAGGACTTAAAATGAGGGTGGAGAAATTAGTAGAGTCGTGTACCAAGTGTATTGGTTGCTGTAGCGATCAAAGCAAGAGTCAAGTGAATACATGCTTAAGACATAATCTGGGGGCTTTCTCCCCCTTTCCCTTAACGTTTTAGAGTGTTGCTACCCCGTATTTAAATATTATTTTCTGGAAGCCCCCTTTTTTTTTTTTCCTTTGTCAATAGTCAAGTGACTTACTAGTCATGTCTTAAAAAGTTACTCGCTACTGCAATCCTAAAAGTTACATGCAACACTCATCAAGGTAAATTTCTAGTCACCAGAGGCCTTTACATTTCTGCCCTTTATATGAAATAAAATATTTACAATGTTAATTTTGATACAATTTAGTAAATTTGCTGTTTTCTATGCTGCTAACGGCACTGGTAACACCTAGCACATACTCGGGAGATTTATCAAGGTGTTGTGATCTGAATAATGGTAAATGTATGGCTAACACCATGAAAGCAGTAAGCACATACATTGCACCAGGTTTCAGAGAACCACGCTATGGAAAATCTTCCCCCATTAATCACATTGACTTGAATCCCCCCGCAGCAATCTATTGAACTCCCCTCAAGTGGAACAACTACTAGGACACAGCAGAGTTCCATTTTTAAAAGATGACCGTGGTATTTGGTGGCGAATGGACCACTTTGTTACTAACATATTTCTATTGCAGTTTTATATGGATTTTATCAGGTTTTTGTTGCATTTTAAGAAAATGTGAATATTTTATTTTAATAGCCTCCTTCACGAAACAGACGAGAGCGAGCCGAACTGCGGCCAGATTTCTTTGATTCTGCAGCCATCATTGAAGACGATTCAGTATGTATCTTCTGTTAAATACACCTGGTTACCTGTAAAACAGGTTGCTATCTGTAGAAGGGGAGAGTTTGCTAGAAATGAAGCATATAGTCTTAAATAATGCCTGTCAAGCAGTGCTGCAGAAATGGAGATTGTTCTTTATTTGGGGCTTTTGGGACTCCAAATGCAGGACATCTAGTCCGTTTTGGAGTCTGAAAATAATTACTATAAAACAAAATTTGGCCTCAATTTTTATAGAATAGATAGTTTTTTTTTTTTTTTTTTTTTAAAGATGCTTTCAAATATTAACTCAAAATACATTGTATCACACTTTTCTCCCGTGAATATTGTGTATAACTTTTTATTTAACATGATATGACAAGTCCTTGTGCCGTTAAACTCTCAGTTCCCACGTGATGAAGCTAATCAGGTTGATTTGTTTTTGTGAACACAAGTTCACTCCTTCCAGGCAAATCGGTTGGACTGGTTGCATTTTTTTTTCTCTCCTATCATGAGAGAACTTGGCTGCAAAATGCATTTTATCATTGGAGTTGGGGTTACAATCAGGGCTTTGACAAATGTCCCTAATTAATTTTTTTCTCTGACTCCCCTAATATGCTGTAAAACTGTCATAAACTAAACCAGCCACTTATAGAATACATCCTCGTGACTAGTCAGTCCCACACACTGGCACATGCATAACTTCTAAATTGTTGTAGCAAATAGACCAAAACAGACTTACTCAGAATAGTATTTTTTTCTTACTTTTATTTGATCAATGATTTCTCAAATTATCCTTTTTCTTTATGTGCATGAGAGAAATTATTTGACACACTCACTCTTCTGCTGCTCCTATTTGTCTGTGTTGAGTGAAAGGAGATCAGGAGATGCCACATCGCGTCCCTGGTATAATTGTTGGAACTAGCCGTCTGTGCCCCTCTAGCACAGAAATGGCTGGTTTCTGGGGGCCACTTGCTGTGCTGGAGATGCTGTCTCCCTTGTAACTGACATGCATCCACGAGGTCCCATTACTTTGTTGCCATAGCAACCTGAATTTATCAACCACTTTTACAGTAACTTGTGTGATGAGATAAGTATGTATTAGGACAGGCAATAACAACAACCTAAAATGGTTTCTAAACCAATTACAATCCACTTAGATGGCCGTTCTCTAAAATGAGAATTGCCAGGAAATTTTCAATTTAAGGCACGAATATCTGAACTGGAAGCACACCCTACCTGGGAAAAAATGTTATTTAAAAAAAATTAAAACATATTCCTTTTTTTTTTTTTTTTTTTTAAAAGATCGACCTTTATATAAAGGCGTGATTTAGATTTTGAACAAACCCCATCTTGTTGGAGATCTTATGGGTATTGTAACAGAGCCTGACAGCATTTTTGTGAATACATTTACCAAACAATACTTATAGAAGGTTTAATGCCATGATAGATTCCGCATGTCATACTCTGTAAGATCCAAGACCTTTGCTATCTGATTATAGCTGTTAGTTATTTCACATTGAGAGGTGTAGCCCATGTAGACCCAAAGTTAGGATGGTATATTTATTTTTACAAATTCCTGAAAACTCATGTTTTTGTGTTATTTCTTTTCCAGGGATTCGGGATGCCAATGTTCTGAGGTTTGTTAAACACCTGGAACTCTTGTTTAAAGGCCTGTATACTGTGAGCTTCTGTAAGAAAATAAAGACTTTTTTTTTAACAAATAGTTTTGTTTGAACCAAAACGCTTGCGGTATTGACGGATTCTGTACAGCGTAGAACTGCCCCCGGTTTCTCACCAGGAATATCAAACCCCATCTTTTGGATCAGTGCTATGGCAGACACAGACCGTGCACACCTGTTTTTGCATTTCTAAGACTGCAGTGGATTGAAGTAAAACCAGGAATAAAAACAAAACACAAACATAGATCCTGTTTATGGACAACCCACCATTGTGACAACTTTATATCTGTTCATATTCTGCTGTACAATTTAACAAAAAAATATTTTTTTGCTTTTTTACGTTCGTTTTCTTTGTGTTTTTATGTTGAAGTCATGTCATGCTGGCATGGAGGATGCTACATGGTTGAAATGAACAATGAGAATGTTAGCAGATGCACTGGAATAAAACAAAAGACACAAAGGGGAAGGAAATCTTTTTCGTTTTTTTTTTTTGTTTTTTTGTTTTTTGCTCTCCTTGCCTTTCTTTAGAAATTAAATCTACTGGCCTCTTGTCCTGCTACCAAGTAGGCAGGAGATTTTCTCAGCAGATCTCAAAACCCAGAATTATTATTTCTTGTAATGCCTGTAGTTGGTTTTCCATTTTGAATCCACAATACCTGCTCCATTACAGATTATTATGCGTTTTTATTTTCTAACACAAATGGACAAATTAACATTTTTTCTATCGGTACTTTTTCTCTACATTTTTACAAAGAATACCAGCAAATTAACTACAGACAGAAGAAACGCTCATCAGTTACCAGATTACTTTAAGGACATTTTTTTCCCCCCCGTTTTTGTCACTTTTTTTATATTCCATTGTATTCAACACAACCGCGCATATTTTAAAATAAATAAAGGAAACTTATAATAGTGGGACTGAATCTACTCTCCGCGCAGTAAAATACAATTCAACAGTAATATTTTTGTAAAAAGAAATCCATTTTAAACTGTTTTACTGTTGCCTAAAGGAAACAAAAAAAATGCTTGGATGGGTGATTTTATTCCCTTCTGGTCAATGTTGAAAGTAATGGCATTTTCAGTGTTAACTGTCCCAAGTTCAACTCTTTTTAAGGGGAAAAATGGAAAATGTTTTTTTGTTTTTTTCCCTAGCACAATAAAATCCCCCTTTAACTGCCCTGTTCTGTATTATTGTAATAAAACTCAAAATCACGTGTCTTAAATAAAAGTGATTTTAACAATGCTTTTCTTTATCTTGCTTCTATCTCACAATGCACAGTTTGGGGTGTAGGACAAGTTAATGCTTGCTACTTAGTATATGGAGGACTGATCCAGATGTGTATAAATATACCATTTTACGTCATTGTAGTTCATACTATAATATGGTCTTATAATGGGGGAACTCTAAGCAACTTCAACCAGGCTGAGCAGAAGTTGGCTATATAACAGTCTGCTCCAACATACCTATGTAGTACCTGTAGCAAAATATTCTATGTTTAGGTGGACTCTTTCATTTGAAGAGTTCTATGTTTAACCCCTAATTTAAAGGCAACCTGTAAGTATTAATGCTCTGTTTTTCCTGTGTATTTAAAGGGACACTGGCACCCAGACCACATAATCTCATTGAAGTGGTCTGAGTGCACTGTCCCCTTAACCCTGTAGCTAAAACTGCAGTTGTATTCACTGTTCATTCAGTGTTTAGATTGTCTCTGCCAGGCAGCCACTAGAGGCACTTCCTGCTGTTTCACGGAGTTTAACTTGGTGAAACTACGCTGGACATCATCATGCTTTGCAGAGAGGGGGCAGAGGGTCACTATAGTGTTAGGAATACAGTATTGTATTCCTAACACTATAGTGTTGTTGTTTTTTTAATTGTTCTGTTAATCATCTGGTTTCCAGATTGGAATATTGAGGAGTAAAGTTTTTTTGGTTGTATTTTACTGTGGAGATCCCTTTTCCAACTAGTATTCATGTCTCGAATTTCTTCTGTAATTTTGTTACCTTGTAAAAGGTTAGTTTATATTTACATAGATAAATTAGCATTGATATATTTATGTAATCTCAACTAGGGGAAGACCCTGCCTTATTGTGTCTTATGGTAACCATCATCAATTGATACCTGTTTATGTGATAGGTCCAATAAAACGTCACTACAAATTGTAACATTCATCTATACATAGTAATAGTACCAATAAGATACAAACCCTTCATAAAGATAGGTGATTAAAGACTTGAAACAGACCTACGCCCCAATAGATGCAGGGTCCACTTGATGAAATGTGCCATCCTCAAGGCAAATCCAAAGAACAAACGAACAACTGGCATCAGTGGATAATGCAATAAAGGCTGTCATTTAGTAAGCCAAAATAGACAGGAAAACAACAATTAATGTTTCACCTTTAGCCTTTAACATGTATATCAGAATATCAAGACAAATATTTGTGTACCCATATCAAATGGGTCAATTAAAAATGTCACATGATCAAAAACCCACCCCCTTGGTCAATACTAAACACAATGTAATGAATCATTAAAGTATCCACAGATACAATGTTGCCATGAAAATATACATATGGGGAAAAAATAAAACCACGTATATTGCAGAGATATTTGCAATTACTTACAACTGCTTCCTTTATTCTGATCATTTGAAAAATACTATAACATGTCAAAGGAATCTCCCCACACAATTCTGGCAAAAGAAGACAAATATTATGTTGCAGTAAGACTGACTAAACAGTTATAGACAATATCCCAATCAGTAATACGCAATCTAGAGAAAGGCCAACAGATCAGGCAGCAGTTTGTGTCCTACCTCTGACACCAAGTCAAAGGAGATGGTGTTCGGAGGTTCAAGAATGCCACCCGTGGCATAAAAACAAAAAAATAATAAGCAAGTCATATTGTCACAAGAACGAATGCAGATCGAATTCCATGTTAAGGCCCTTAGGCCACATAAAGTCCAGAGTGAAGATTCAATATTTTCTCTTTTTTTTTTGGTAAAAGTTTTTTCCCAGTCATCACATCAATGAAGGTAACTAGGCAGTTATTTTGAACCCAAGTTTGAGATGGAACAGTCACAAGAGATGAGGTGTTCTCGAAGGTGGAGATTTGTTTTTTATTTTTTTATTTTTTTTGCGAATTGTAGATTTGTGTTTACTGGATCTTTCTCATTTTGTTTCACCTATGTATAAAGGCCACAAAGGCCCTTAAGCATGTAAATCACAAATCTTGATTAAAGGTTTAAAAAAACAACTTTATAGGAAAATGTTTACCAGTTCTTGGATGAGTGAGATGCGCTCTTTTAATTACCACTCCACAGGAACTGCATCCAAAGCAGTGAAACATACCTACGTTAGGTGTTCCTAAGATAAGAAGTGTGTGTTAGTGACAGTAGTAACAATTTTGTCTCTAATGCTTTTAGAACATCTGTAGGCAAACAACGGGTGGGGGCGGTAAAACTGAAGGATATTGGGAGTAAGATCCACCAATGTTAGCTGCAAAATGACTGTCACTCTGTTTTTGACATTTAGGACCACATTTTTCCTATTCAAGCAAAAATTAACAAAGCTTTTATTTTTTCAGACTTTGCCTAGGATAACCTCTCAACAAATTTATAAGCAATTTCATTAAGATGTGTCTCCAGCACAGAGGGGTCAGAAAGCTTTCCTTTGAACCTAATTAACAGACTCCTATGTAAAGAGCAAATAACATGAGGATGATTGAAACTGTCAAAGGCAAGGAGGATGTTGCAATTAGTTGGATTGGTAAATAAATCTGTAGAGAAAGTGATACCCTCTTGTTAGATAAGATCGAAAAAGTTAATACCAGGATTGACAATTTGCATAGAGTCCTGTTATAGGCGATGAATGATTTGAGTACCCATTTTCGTACATGGTTACTCAAATCATTCATTGCCTGTAAAAGGACTCTAAAGCGGAAACAGGACCACACCAAATTCCCAAGATGTCATCAATGTAGCGCCACCATATGCGAACAAACTGACAAAACAGTGAATGCTTATAAATAAAATTCTCCTCTAAGCCATTGACAAACAAATTTGCGTAAGCTGGCGCTACATTCAATCTCTTAGCGGTCTCTTTTAGTTGGAGGTATAAATCTTCTCAACACAAAAACATTTTAAGTAAAAAACTAAATGATTTTTTTTTTTTTTTTTAATCAGTCTGGGGGCAGTGCTGGACTTGGAACAAAACAGCCCATGAAAAAAATGATATTCAATAATGTGTCGCTCCAGCATAGTGTGCAAATATAGAAGTGAAAAAGATAACTTAAAATTAAAAACTATTACTCTAATGTGAAAGAAAGCACTCATAGAGCTTCAAAATAAACAAAAGAGCAAATTTGTTTTAAGCAGACGTGCATTTGTATATAATCCGTTTCAGTCCAACTATCTTGACATGTTATGAAAAGTTTAAGGGGACTGAAATGGTGAATATATGCTGTTGCACAGCTGTAAAAAAAAATATATATATCTGTGTGCTTTTTGCTTTGACTGAGGTAATCAAAGTTGATGATTTCGGCCAATCCAATACTTTCCTATAGGAAAGTATTGGGAGGCTATTGCGAATGCGTGGCGCCACTCGGCATCCCCTCATAGAGATGCATTGAGTCAAGGATTCTTTGTGGGGAGCATTCAGCACGTCCATGCAGAGCGTGAAAATGCTCGACGTAGGTACGGTACAACACTGGACTAGTAAGTACCTCTAGAGGCTGCCCAAGTGCTGCCTCGAGGGGTTACTAGGCAGTAATAGAAACACTGCCTTATTTCTGAGAAGGCAACATTTACACTGCACAGCCTGCAGTGACAGTCTATAGACAGCAGACCCACTACATTAAACTTATTAGTGTCCTTTTAATAATATGTCTCTCTCACCTGTCAATCAACTCTTTGACATAGATTCTTGGGCTAAAGAACGGAGTTACAGAGAGCAGAAGACACAGGCAAAGATGTATCCACACACACACAAAGCTTAATTATAACAATTATTGGTTGTAGTGTGGCATTTCGAGTAACAGCACATTTTTTTAACGTAAGAAAAATCGGTCGTGCATTAAGTAGCATATAAGTAAATAGTAACATGTCTGCAAGAGTGTTCAGTACAGGTATCGAGTTAATTAATGGTAAAAGCATGTTAAAGGCAGCGCTCGTTGTACAAGAAACAATGAATAAGTGAATAAAACTGCGAGCTGCGCGTAGTGTAGTGTTAAGCTAGTATGGTGGGATAAGTAGTAGATTGTCATATGTAGCAGACTAGGCAGTGCAAACAAGCTAGGTAAGAGAGCACATTCAGTGCCATAAATTGCTGGGCAAGATACAGATTGAGACATAGCTTAGTTTAGTGCAACTCTGTGGGAGACACCCTTGTGGGGGACATAGGGAAACCAATACTCTGTGTGTTGGCCACTGGGTAATCGTTATGGGAGTTGGAGTCAGAGTCCGACCCAGCACCTTTGTTTCTTATCCCCTCTTTTTTTTAATTTAATATTTTATTGAGACCTCTTTAGATATACAAGCCAGAGAGAGTAAGCATACATCAGTACAATGGGTTGGATACAATAAAGGCTAATCAAAGTGATTTATATGGCTATACATTGTCTAATTGTTAAGAATAAATAAGTTTAGTGAACTGTCCCAGATGCAAGAGGTAACTACAATGAGAGAAACAATGCTATATTTACATGCCTTATCCCCTCTTTTAATTGTCCTGATTTAGTGTAGCTTATCTCCCATTCTTTCCCTTTGTGTATCTTTTATGTAATCCCATTCCCTTTTGTGTCTTTTCCCCCAAGCCCCTTTTGTGTCTCTTAGCCCAGCATTCTCTCTTCCTCAGCCATTCTGTCACATTCTCCCCTTCCCCAGCTCATCTTTGGTGAGCATAGCCTCATTATGAGGGCTAGAAGTATATAAACTTTCTACATCACAGATAAAAAGAATACATGGCTCAATGGAGGGTTGAGTCAATTTAAAAGTACATCAGAAGTATCCCTAATGTAGGACTAACATGACTGGACAATTGGCTGTAACACTTTGTCCAAGAACATAGCAAGTGGTTAGGTCTTGTAGGTCTGCCAGTGGGTTTATGGAGGCTTTTATTGTCTAATGGTGAGTATGTAAAAGGCAGGTATAATTGGATCACATGTAGTCAAAGTCCCTGTCAATCAACCCATCTTGAAGTCCAGTATTCAAAACAGCAGCAATATTCTGCTGTAGGCTAGATTATAGTAGTTATATTTAACTAAGGTAGAACCATAAGATAATTGATGACTAATTTCACACTCCTGATAATACTTTTTATTTAAAACCACCAGCACACTTCCACTTATCTGCTGGTTTGATTATTCTGTCATTTTTCTTTAATCTGTCAAAGGCAATATGGTCTTCTCTGGACATGTTGGAGAGGATTTTTGTTTGTTTGTTTGTTGTTTTTTTTACATTTGAATCAAGCTTTGTGATTTACATGCTCAAGTGTCCTTGTGACCTTATTTGTAGGTGAGACTACCTAAGAGTTAACTCAATTTAGGAGAGATGGTGACCGGCAAAGACTTTTACAAAAAAGAGAAACATTTTGGATCTTCACTCTGGACTAAAGGGTTTAATAGGAATTCGTTCTTGTAACAATATTCTGACTCGTATACATTTTTTGTTTTTATCCCATAGGTGGCGTTCTTCGACTTGGAGGTAGGACATCAACTGCAACCCAAACTGCCTGCCATTCTTATTTCGACCTTTCTCTATATTACGTATTACTGATTGGGGTATTGTCTATTTTTGCCTATATTGGGTGCACACGTAAATATTTGTCTTTTGATATTGTAATGATATATATTAAGGCTACAGCCGTAACGTATTAATTGTGGTTATCCTGTCTATTTTGATTCCATAAATAAACAGCCTTTATGGAATCCACAGATGCCTGCTGTTTGTTTTTTAAAGTTTTGTAATAATCAGCCCAGGAAACATACAGACTTCCTCACCGATGTAGAACTATCTTTTTTATTCTAAAACTGAATTTGCATCTATTATATTTTAAAATCCATTAGGATTATTTAATTATTTTAAGGGGCTCTACAGGCACCATAACCATTTAAGTATATTGTTACTTGGATACTATTCCTGCTTTCTTTTCAATTATTTATCAAACAAAACAGAACTTTAAACTGGATCTCTTTGTTCGACCTAGAAGATCTGTAAGTCAGTTGGGAATTATTGCTGTGTGCTTCTACCACCAATCTTCACAGGGACGGGTCACTCTTCAGACTAACAAGAATGACCTCCTGGGGGAGCAGCACATGCAAGTCATAATCACGGTGTGCTTTGTACTGTGTAAGCTTGGAAATCTGAGTTGGGTTTTAACATTAGGATAAGTGTTAGTGTAGAGCAGTGGTACCAAACAAGTCCTCACAACCCACCAGTAGAATAAAAAAAGGGGAAATACATAAATCCCGGATTGTTTGGCCATGAGGACTGGTTTGAGAACTATCAGTGTTGAGCAGGGGTGCCCATATGGTAGATCCCCAGATGATGTAGAACTAGAATGATGCTTTGCATGCATTTAGAATGACAAAGCATCATGGAAGCTGTAGTTTTAAAACATCTGGGGATCTACTTTTTGGACAACCCTTGTGTAGAGCAAGGGATAATGCTGGGTTACAGATAGTGTAAATGTAATGTTACTGTAAGTCTTGAGAGTTAAAGCATAAGGTTGGCAATAACTACCAGTAATTAATTTAAATCTTAGAAGGTATTTAACAACCCGGATTAATAAATTAATCTATTATAAGTTATTTTTCTTTAGGTGCACTTAAAGTTGTAATTGTGAATAGCTAGGTTATGGATCCTTTGGCTTAACATGTTTAGCTCCTTTAATAGAAAATCTTTTACGCAGTTATCTTTTGTGTGTATTCTGTGATTTCCTCCCTGTAACGGATAACCTGGCACCCGACGGGGTACCTCCGTTGAAGGATGCTCCTAGGGCTTCCTGAGGACTTCAAGCACTGCAGCAGACACCACAACCACCAAACTGGAGAAGCATACGAATGCTCTCAAGCATATGAATGCTGTAAGCAGCTGAACAGGAAAAGCATATAATCAGCTTACACTCCTGGCAATCAGCATACAGTCCAATTCCTCCAATAACGAGACGACACTTCGTTTTGAGGTCAAGCAGAACTGACTGTACTAGCACATACAGCCTCTTTTATTCACAATCCACAAACTTAGTACAGCCCACAGGGTTTTACAGAACAACCAATAACACACGTACATTACAGAAAACACTCCCAGCAATTATACACAAAATCCTCCCCTCTGCCTGTGTTATAATTATGGTACACAATGGTTTAACATAATTATCACAAGCAGGAAAAATACAGTTTTTATATATGTACTATAACTTTAGAAATATACATCCAATCTTCATAAAACAATTACATATTATTAATCAGCACATTTCAAATATAAACATACCCAAAAATCATTTGAATCCGTTCAGCCGTTCGGGAGATAGATATAAGTCAAGTTTGACCGACCGCAAGCACACTTTCATGCCCAAAACAGTTCCAGAGAATCAAGCTGTTCGGTCGGTCTATTTACCATGTTAAAGTCAGTTCAAACAGATGAACGACAACCATTCGAATTGTCGAACTGTCGAATGGCGTTCGAACTGTCGAATGCATTGAAGTCTGGAGAAGGTAAAACTTCAGCTGAATTAAAGATGGCTGCAGCCACGTGTTCGTTTGTCGAATGGCTGCCACTTCGACTACTTCGGCTGCATCCGAAGTGCCAATATAAAGCTGCAGAACTGCTCCAATATAATTTAAAGGGGCAGCAAGTCTTTTAAAATCCAATCTGCTAAAATAGTCTTTAACAGGCAATATCTTCCAAGGGCCATAGTCTTAAAGGGGCATTGTTCCCAAAAGTCACAGTATGTCCCCAGATGGTTCTTACAGGGCCAGCAGCAGCATTATAAAATACAATATGCCCAAATACTGTATTAAAACGGCCAAATCTCCCAGGGGCCATAGTCAGCAAGCAGGAGGCGGGCAAACAGGCTTCTCCAATGCCCAGTGGCGAGGTTGGTTTCACCACACTCCCTATGAAGAGTTTATTAATAAACATATTTAAACTTTCTTTTTAAACTCTCATATCTGAATTGCATTCACATTCTTTGAGCCATAGGAAAGATACCAACGTTCTAGAAAAAGTCTGCAACTGAAAACGATGACATCAATAGAAAGGAGCACCAGACAGGAGAAAGTGTTTGTGACTTATGTTTTAGGCTGAGCCTGTTAAAGTTGTTAGAAATGTCACGGGATGTTGTGTGGGAGTAAACAATGTGTGTTTTTGGATTAAAATTGATAAAATACTCCCCACAAATGTTTAAAAAGTGCAGAGAAAGATGCCGAGGCGCACATTGCACGAAGGGGTCCAGGATGGCCCCTGTAGCGGGACACCGCCTCTTAGGACCATGCCCACTGACCATTCATATTTTTGCACCTTGTATTTTGTGTTCACTATATTTATTCTCACAAATTTCCCTTGTACACTGTGTCTCACCCTGTATCTATATGTAACTGTGTTGTATTCGTGTGTTTTGCCTGCTCCCCGTTTGGTAGAGCTCATACGAATGGTTCTGTTTGGCTCCCGAACGAGGACCACCCTGACACCTCATTTAGAATGTCTATTTAGAACGTTCACACCTCGTAACAAGGTGTGAAAACTGCAGACCGCAAGGGAAACAAGCGGCCCGTGCTTCCCCTGCATGTCCGCCGGTTTGTATAACCGCCAACCAGAGAAAGCATTCGTACCCCAAATATGCACGCGGTCTCTTATCCTACCCATTCCCAACGGAGCTATAGTCACTGTTTCCCCCTCTTGCTCTGTACATCCGATAGAACTGCTATTTGCAGGGATCCCAGATGGGACCGCCTCCTGCCTGGGATTGTGTTGTATTGAATGGAGACCCCCTGTGGGGATCTGTGCATAAAAGAAGCCTGTTTTCCATTAAAGATTGTCAGTCAGTGTTTTAACCTCCAGAACTGTATGTTGTCTGGTTACTGGAGGGAAGGAAGATTTAACCCCTGTGTCAGCTGTTCCAGCTTGCAGAGAGATGCAACAGGGAAAGTGCTTGTAAGGACTAAGAAAGTTAGTTCTTCATCCATTGCCCCAGGCTCCAGCTAAGAATCAACCCCTCTGGTGGAGGTACCCAGCCCCATAACTCATAATAGCCCCCATCACTCAACCTCCAGAGGACCTTAAGGTCCTGCAATGGAGACAGCACTTTGAGGCCAAATCTGCCAAAATTTTGGAGGCTAATACAAGCCAGACCCCAACATCTGGATTTACCTGCTAAACCTGATAACATGGAGGAGAAAACGACTTCCCGTTTGAGCTCTGAGCAGAAGGCTCACCCAGAGGTACATCAGTCTTACCACCCCAGAGATCGGAGGCTCACGTCCACTTATAACGGCCGAGCCATGGCCCGTTGGACGACCTCGCCCAAACAAGCGACTTCCATGTCTTCCCAGAGGTTCACTGCAGAGAAGACTGCACGAGAAACCACTTCGGCGGGTGATTGTTCTGTACAGCTCTGTTTCCCGGGACTGTCAATACTCACCTGCAATCTGCTATCAAACACAGCTTCTCCAACTCTGAGACCTATACATCACACCACTGGGCATACATTACCAAGGAGCAACAACAAAGAGCCTCGGCTGTCATCTTGGGACGTGCGTCACTGGACTAGCTGAAGAATGGAATCTGGCCTTCTAAGGGTGTCTGACAGGGACGGTTGCTGGGACTCACCTCCACATGGTATCGGCTGAGTGACCCACAAGCAGTATCTGCAGTGTAGTGGTTCTTGAGCCTAAATGGTTATATCGCAATTTAATATGCTCTACTATATGCCTGCAAATGTAAATTCCGCTTAGCCAGTGGTATCTACTTATGGAAACCCACATTGGTTCCATTTTACCATAATACTTATCACAAACAGTGCAGTTTACTCTAAGTGCATATAATACCATTTTTTTTTTTTTTTTTTTCTTTGTTCTATTATTCTTGCTTCACAAAAATGCACTATACTTGTCTGTTTTTTATAAAAGGTGCAGTATTTTCATCATTTCCTGCAATATGCTGTAAGAAGAATCCATAAGGTTGGCTGAAATGTCTTGATATGCTTGTACTTCTATATTGGCACCACCAAAATAAAGAATGTAAAAAGAAAAAAGGTGCAGAGAGAAATGTCTCCAATTTTTAGTTTAAGGAGAATGTTTATTTTTATGCCACTTGAACTTGTTACTTTTGTGAATTGCATTTTAAAGACATTTTTCCCCTGGGGCATCATTACTGCAGAACAAAAGGGGCAGTCGCCCATGTCCCCATATTATGTAGGGTGGCCCATATCAGCTGCTCCTTGGACTGTCTATACCACAGCTGGCTAACATACAGATTTGGAGGTCATGTGTGCCCCTTGAAACCTACAATCCGGCCTGCAGTCTAAAGGAAGCTTGACATGATTTATCAAGCTGCAGTGTTTTTGACAAATACCCTGCACAATTTAAGTTAAACGTGGGATTTTGTTTGTGTTCGTTGTTGCTTTCCATTTGATATCAATATACGCCTCATAGAAACCATGTTAATCTTCTTGCCTTTATGAACAAATGATAACTTTTAGTAATGAATGTCTTTTGCCCCACATAGGTGTAGTGTTATAATCTGTAATGGAATGTTTCTAAACGTTGTGTTGGACATTAATCAATCTGAGATTGTACCCGTGTGCTAAACGTCCTTCAAAAACAAAATAATGTAAACATTTGTGCCATTGGCAAACACAGCTAATGCTTCTCTGAAAAGAACCAAATTTGTGAATCCTGGCACTTGTCATGCATGTATCATGTTCTCAATGAAAAGCATCTCATTATCAGTTTTCAGAATTCACGGAAAAGGATTAGGGTGCAGTGGAGAAGACTGTACCAAAGCTGCAATAAAGGCAAGTTTGAAAACTATTTTAAACAAACAAAAAAAGCCCGGCCTAGGAGATGATTAATTGGCCTTTAGAGTTAAATAACTTATTTTGCCATTACCATTAAATAACACTGTCGATCTTTGCCAAGCTGGGTCACTTGATCTCTGGAATAAAACCTCTAAACTGGCTCTGTCACGATAATATATACATTTCTTTTTATGCCTTCCCCCTCCTCAATGTTCACAATCAGTGTTTGTTTGCCAACCTTTCACCCCTTAGTACCTTAAATTTTACAATCTTGTGGCACTGCCACAAGGCAAGAGAGGAAGGATGTGATAGGTGAGTTTTGTAGGAAAGTTAGCTTGACAAAGGACTAAGCTCCACCTTTTTGTCACATTTGTCAAGTATAGGAAATTCATAAGACAAAGAAAGGACTACTTTGTTTTAGGTTTTAAAGATAAATAAAGCAGAGGAAGAGGAAACAGGTAAAAGTGAAGGCTGTAAATTTCTCAAACTTTAAGTTAAAGGAGATCAATATGCCAATTTTTTTTTTTTTTCTCACAATCTCCAATTTATTTAGAATTCCAAAAAGGTCACATTATACACCATACAGATATGTTACCAACATACCAGTATGGGGCCATGCCTTATATCTTTGATAGTGTTTCATTGTAGTTTGACACAAACTAATCAGTTCTGAATTTTGAAGCCATAATGTCCCATACAGGAATGTGTATTTGAATCTGTCAACTCGTAAATCAAAGAGGAATATTTGCATGTTTCTTCCAAGGATTCACCAGCTTCTTACTGGCAAGTACTTCAAGGTCTCGACATATGCGCAAGCGGGTGGTGGATGGCTGAATGATGTCATCAACGAACCCTGATTAAAAGAAGAGAAAACAACAAGATTAATTGTTTGAAGTTGCTTTGTCACTGTCTGGCGTGTTTACATATTTAGTAAAGACTTAGACAGTGACATCAACATGGGAGTGCAGGGAAAGATGAGATTTACCAACCCAAACCACTTCTTATCGCTCCTCTTTAACTGTTGGGAGCGGACATCAGTGCTGTACTCTTGCACATATATAGCTGTACAGCAGCTCAATTTCCTTACAGCCGCCACTGGTTATGACAGTACCGCCACCTTGTCAGACGGAAGAAAAATACTGAGACAAAGCATTTCCTTTGTCTCAGTATTTCTTTTAAATGAGCTGGAATTTCATCAGTCAGTCTGATTATTTCATAAAGATTATCTATATTCTGGTTTATAAAATTTCACTGAAAAACGCTTCACGTACAGACTCTAGGCACCATGAACTCTTAAAATCACTGAAGTTGTCCTGCTGCTTGGAGTAACCATTTAATTCTCACAGCTATCCGCTCGTGCAGCACTACTGGAGAAAAAGCTGAGCGTGCAAGTTTTTCTCAGTTAATGTCAGAGTTGTTCACAGTGGGGATCCAAGAACAACGTGATATTTAGGGGCTTGTGTGTTTACCTCTCACAGCTGCAGGGAAGGGATTGGCAAACTTCTCCACATATTCTGCCTCTGCTTCCGCCTGGTTCTGTTTTCCACGAAATATGATCTGAACCGCACCCTAGCAGAGAAATGTATGGTACAAGTCAAAATACTGAACTATAATCATATGACTGGCTTAAGGAAATTTACTTGTCCACAAAAGGCTTTAAAAAAAAAAAAAAAAACACAAAAAGCACATGTGGACTACTACAACTTGAAAAACACTGATCACCATGGCAACTGCAACTTGGCTTCTGGTACCTGTGTCATATTGTGGGGTAAAGCGGTAACTCACATCTCCTTTTACTTGCTAAAATTTTACTCAAAATCGACATAATGCCAACCAAAGCCAAAATGAAAAAGCATTGATATAAATGGTGCCTTGATTCTGGCATTAACAGATGCATCATGTACAAAAAGATAGGATATGCGCAAAAAAGTCGAATGTAAGCTGTAAACATTGGAATGTAAGGAAATATCCCAGCACCTTACTAACAAGAAGCAAAATGATACAGAACACAAAAAGACATGTTGCAGCGAATACTATGTGCATTAAGGCCAATAAAAATAATTATTTTGAAGATCCTGACATAGAATCGTCCAGTCTTTAGTGGGTGATGTTTTGTTAAATATACTCATCACCAACTGAAGCCTGGATGATTCCAAGTCAGGATCTTTAAAATTATTTTTGTTGACCTTAATGCACACAGTATTCAGCTCAACCTGTTTTTATGTGGTTTGTAACATTAGCAGATGTATGCGCTGCAAAACCTGTGGAATAGTAATGGGGCTTAATCTCAATCAAGTAAAGATTCCTGGATGTAGTGCACCATGGGTAGCTGTCACAAAAGAACATAGTTATGGTTAGAAAAACCAAAATGGAATTCAGTGCTAAGAAGTTGTGTTTGCCATGGAAAAAAAAAAAAAAAAAATGATAATTTACCTTGGCACCCATGACTGCCACTTCAGCTGTTGGCCATGCATAGTTAACATCTCCTCTCAAGTGCTTAGAGCTCATGACATCATAGGCTCCTCCGTACGCCTTGGGGGAAAGAGAATAAAAAGTAAACAGCTGAACTCACACTCCCAAGTAATCAAATCTAAGGACCGGTGACCCATTTTAAGAGCATATTTCTTTTCACAAGTTTTTACCTAGAAATATTAAACAGAATTACAGGAGGTGCAGTTCAAGATACTTTTGTTTAGAGAACTACACAATGGCTCACCTGGATCTAAATATATAGCAGGAATGCATTATCTAGAAGTGTATTACCAAATATTACCACCTTACAACCATTATATTTAAATGAGTGCCAGTCAACATAATTTCTTTTATATGTCATACTTACCTTTCTGGTTATAACTGTGATCTTTGGAACAGTGGCCTCAGCAAAGGCAAATAGCAGCTTTGCTCCATGTCGGATGATGCCTCCATACTCTTGAGCCGTACCTGGCACATAGAGAAGGGGAGAGGTAAATAGAAAACCATTAAGACCATGATTTAATTCCAAACATAAATAAATACTGGTTACTTAAAGTCCAAAAAGGAAATTATAGTAAATAAGTGGACTTGGATATCCAATTCCAAGAAATGGTAATATGAATATTGATTTTGACATTTAATAAAAAGGAAAAACATTGCATAGTTATCTTTTATAGCAGCATTTAAAATGAATAAAACCAGCATAATTCAAAGTATTAATGTACTGATCACACAAGGTTGCAGTCAGGCTCTGTAAGAAACCACACTTTGTATCCCATGAGAGATACACCAAAGGTAGAAAAGATAAACTGTTATTCCTAGGAAGACACCAAAGCAGAGGGAGCTATAGTGCTAGGAATACAAAGGGGGCATTAGAAAAGAAAGGGGGAGGGGGAGGGGGAACAGACCCACTTTCAATTTTGACAATTGATTCTCATGTGCAAAGGGATTTTGGCTCCTCCGCTTAATTGACAGAAACGTGTAAGTGCGAGTCTCAACAGTGACAAGTGAAACAAGCAAAACATACCCACCATTTTTTTTATATAGTAAAGCATGAGAAAAAATGATTGTTATATACAAAGCAATGCATAAAATGAATACACATAGTTGCTACTTTATGTGGTAAATATGAGACATAGCAACCCTTCTTTGAAATGGGTAAACTTGGATGTTTGGTTTCTTGTTTTAGAAATGTGATCAGAAGTTTGGGAACTAATATACAGATCTACATTACCTGGTAAAAACCCGGGTACATCAACAAAAGTGATAAGCGGTATGTTGAAGGCATCACAGAATCTGACAAAACGCGCTCCTTTCACAGAAGAATTGATATCTAAGCAACCTTTGGGAAAAAGAACGGGGAGTTATAACTAACAAAATATCTTTCTATTCATTCAGCGTTCCATATGTCTATTTATAAGTAGCTGTAAAGGAATGTGTGTGGTTAAAGGGACATGCATCACTTTACAGTTTGGGGGGATTTTTTGTTTGTATTTTATTTTTAAACAAGTATATACTTTTACACAAACACACAAATGAAAATAAAGCCAGAAAAACTTTGAAAAGTATGGCATAAATATTATGTATGTAATAAATGTAGTACAGGTATATAATAAAATATGGAAGTTCGGATCAGTCATCTAATGATAGAATCAGGAGGAGAAATAAACCAGACACCAGAGCCTGGTCTGCATGATCACACGGACCAAACTCCATCTCTTCTCCCCCTGACAGGATTGTGCAAGAGTGGAGGAGATCTTCTAACTGCACATTTGTAAATCTGTCAGGCATGCCCAATGCACTTTTTTCCAGCATTCCTAAAGATAGAACACTGATGTGTTCGGTCAGTGTCCGCCTGGAGTTTGTGTGGAAAGCAAAGCATAAGAATGAATAAGCAGGTAAATATAAAAAGAAATTTAAAAAAAATTGCTTACTTTTATTTGTTCAGCCTGCAGACTGGTGTCTCATTCACAGGTGAGATCACTGTCTCAAAGTGATGTATGTCCCTTAATAAAATATCATAGTGGACAGTGAGCCTATGAGGGAGGGTGGTGTGATTGCTGTAACTACAAGTCTACCTCTGACTGTTGTACTAAGGGGACGCAATGCTTCCTTATGTACAATTACTGCATGTCCCCACTACCTCATGCATAGCTCTCATGGAGTCATGCCAACATTTCAAAGTGGTATTGTAAAGAGGGATACAATCAAAACTATGGTTAAAAAAGATTAGGCATTTTTAAAAATGATCCATCAATTCAGCAGTCGGCCAGTCACATTTTCAAATGATGTCTCCTTAGATGTTTGTTCAAGTTAGGGGTGGGCACATTCAAACACTGTCATAGTACCTGATGCCACCTTTGGTTGATTTCCTACTATACCAACTGTCCTTCCATTCATCCGGGCAAAGCCCACCACAATATTCTTGGCATAATTGGGCATGATCTCGAAGAACTCTCGGTCATCAACAATCTGTGAAGACAATTGTTTGCAAATAATAAATTAATGACAGCTCAGTGAGTAAAAGCTTAGCACACCAACATGGCCACTCTCTGAAAAGAGGCAACTTCAAGACAATGTAAGCTTCCTCTTAAAGGACCACTCCAGGTACCAAAACCACTTCATGGAGCTTGGAGTAGTACTTTAAGAACTATAATACTGCTGAAATTATTGGTTTGTAAAAAAAGAGTACACCATTTTTAAAAGCGAGAATGAAAGGAATTTATAGTACCCATTGGCATTAAGTAATGTTGCAAGAAAAAAAGATAAAAAATAAAAAAGCAATAATTGATTTACTAGAACGGCCAACAACTGCTGCCCAAATCTGCTGGGTTTCCCCATCTGTGCTTCAACAGAATGACAAATAGATGTATATCGAAATCCATATTCAGAAAAACCTACAACTCTCCAACTGTCCTGATTATATCACAGCTGTCATAAATAATGAGCAAATAATTCTCATTACCCAAGATTATACATACACATACATTAATCACAGCAACTGAATAGCTACTGCACAGAACTTTAAACTTCCACTAATGTCAGGCAGCACTGGGACATGCATTCAATTCCTCTACATTACACTAAATACTAATCCTGACACCCGCTTAACACACTACCACTAACCCTGAACTGAAAATATGGAACAGAAAAGATACACAAAGTGTCTTGTAAGAAAACCCATCAAGGTGTTCTGAAGACACTATAAAAACAAATTTCCCTTAAATTTTATTATAATATATAAAATATTATATATTTTATACAGACACACATCTCAAGTAAAACCCTGGAAAAAGTCAGGCTTGGGCACCGTAACTAAGAAACCATGTTTTTACATTTCTCTCAGCTCGACCTGCAAATAACCACAGACAAACACGTTGAGCTGGAAAGTTTGGTAGGCTTGGAGAGATGTGATTTCTTGGAATCGATGTGCCAATGGCCCTTCTCGAGATGTGCAACTCTAGATTCTGAATTTGCATAAATCTGTGGGGGTGTTTTAGGCACACACATTAAAAATGCATTGGAGTGCTATGGATAATTTACATTACCGAGTGAACAATATCCAACATGTCATATGCTTTAGTGGACTCCATAGGAACCACTGTGTCTAATCCCGGTATCAGGCGGTCACTAAGAGAGGAGAAAAGGGAAAACAAAAGAATCAATGACAGATTTCGATACCAAATATCCCCTGTTTTCAATTTAAATCAGGTTAGTTAAATTAAAAAAGATTTAGATAGATTTTTGTTGCAGACACTACGAGGGATATTAAACAATGTGGTATAAAAAGAGATGGTTGAATTCATATTTATTAAAGTGATCCAAATATAGTGTTTTCTTTTTAATGAATTCTGAATGTTTTGCTAAAAAATTCCATTGCCAAATTTACAGTGGCGAGGAAAATTCATAAATCTGTTGCTGAAAAAAATATTCAAAAAATTAATAAATAAATAAAAAGGCCAGTGTGCAAAAAAGCAGTGAGTGAAATAAATAAATAAAATGTGCAAATAACTGGTTAAAATGAGATATAAAAGTGTGAATGACATTTTGATAAATCTCCATGAAAGATTGGTTGGGGACAGGACTGCATTGCTCATCTATGGAAGAGAGCACTCTGAATATTATGCATCAGCGTAGGTGCTCACTGTGGATCATAGCACTCCCGGATTGGAGCTGGGTCCTTGTTGCTCAGTGGAAGATAGTTGAAGAATTCACGCAGGTTTAATAGTGCATCAACATCATTCTCAAATGCTCTGTGGGCTACACCTGCAAAAATAAATAAATGTGAACATGACCACTAATTTCACAGGATATAATGAACAGCAACCTCTTTGAAACAGCATGGCTTTTTCTATTCCCTGAAAACATGTCCAAATGGAGAAACCACAGGTTGGACTTGGCCTATAATGGTATGTGTATGGCTTCTAGGCTGTGAGATTGTCTACAGTACCAGTAAAGAGGTATTTAATTCATCCAGTGGACATATATATGTAAAACTGGGCAGTAATCTCAAAATATGAGAATGTTGATTCAGTCATTTAATGTCCTTTATTTGGGTAGAAAAAAAAAATTAAAAAAAAAAATCACTAAACAGAAAAATGGTTATGTACAAACTGGAGACACAAAATAGTAATTGTGGATATAAATAATTAGGGATGTGCATGGGCAAAATATTCAGTTTGGCATTCCAAAATTCGGAACGTCGGCATAGTTCGATACTTCCGAAATTCGGGACTTCGGATATGTTCTCTTGCATCTGCTTAGTGCAGAACTCCCTAAACTCCGAAATTTGACATTTCGGCAACTCAGCTATTCAGACATTCTGAAGTTTCCGAATTGCCATTCGGAATGAAACAAATTGCACATGTCTATAAATAATCATATACAGTGGAACCTCGGTTCTGGAATGCTCCCATACTCAAACAATTCGGTATTCAAAGTAAATATTTGAGAAAAAAAAAAAAAAAGTGCCTCAGTATTAGAACAAAATCACAAGGCATTAACCTCGATGGTATGACACATCGGCCTCCTAGCACTAAACAAAGCGAACAGAGCTCCATTTTCATTTTATTTACATTGTGTTTATTAGTTTTTTTTGTATTATTTTATGCATTTAAGGTATTATTAAACTGTACAATGTGTGTTAAAATGCTGTACTTTTGGAGGTCTGGAACGGATTAATCTAATTTACATTAATTCTTATGGAAAATTTGGCTTCGGTTTTCGAACAACTCGGTTCTCAAACAGCCTTCTGGAACGGATTAAGTTTGAGTTCCAAGGTTCCACTGTATAGACAATTCCAGTTTTATTTCTTTTAATATTGAAGAAGCACTTTAACCACTTTCTGAACTTTAAGTCACAACAGAAGGTAATTAATGCTTTGCCATAACAGACAAAGCAATTTCATATAAGGCAAGCATTATGCTTATCCAAACAAATATTAAACACAAATAAAATAATGTTCTTTTCATACATAATTAATTAGTAACCTGATAGCGCTGTGTGAGTCTTGGCTCCTCCCAGATCTTCCTGGGTGACATCTTCATTTGTAACCGATTTCACCACATCTGGACCAGTTATGAAAAGATAGGAAGTATCCTGTGGATGTAAACCAGTTTAATTATTTGAATACCTGTGCCCATACTATAAGGTTTACAACGAATCTGTGCAAAGCACATATAAATGTCTAATGGGCAAAAAAAATTGATTTAACTCCTTAAGGACCAAACTTCTGGAATAAAAGGGAATCATAATATGTCACGTGTCTTTAAAGGATTAAGGAGAAGAAAAAATAAATAAAAAGTAGGCATTGTGAACGGTTTCCATTTTATTACAGCTATGAGGAATAATTAAGTATATTAGACCCATTTACCTTCACCATAAATGTGAAATCCGTCAGAGCTGGGGAGTAAACAGCACCACCAGCACACGGTCCCATAATTAGACTGATCTGAGGTACAACCCCTGAATTCACCACATTTCTCTGAAAAGACAGACATTTTGCATTTGGAAAGGGTTTTGTTGTAATCTTAAAGTATTCAACATGGGAGAATCAGGTTGCATTTGAAGAAAAACAAACAAAAAAGAAAAACTTTCACAGCTAACCTAGTCTGAGACCAGCTTAAAGGGACACTATAGTCACCAGAATACCTTTAGCTTAATTATGCTGTTTTGCTGTATAGATCATGCCCCTGCAGTCTCACTGCTCAATTCCTGGCCATTTAGGCGTTAAATCACTTTGTTTATACAACCCTAGACACCCCTCCCTGCATGTGACTTGCACAGCCTTCCTAAACACTTTCTGTAAAGAGTCAGCTAATGTTTACACTTCCTTTATGTTAAATTCAGAATTTCTCATCTCCTGCTCAGTTAATAGCTTGCTAGACCCAGCAGGAGCCTCTTGTATGTAGCCTCTTGTATGAAGGTAATGAGTATACTCACCAGAACAAATACATTAAGCTGTAGTTGTTCTGGTGACTATAGTGTGCCTTAAAGCTGTTCTGACACCTGGTATTATTTGCTGCGGCATTCATCAACGCAGGCTGTTCCATATGTGGGGGAGCCATGGCAGGCTTCTGAAATGGAGGCAGGACAAAAAACATGGATCACACCCACAAAGGTGTGCTGCACTGGATCTGTTATGAGGTGTAGAGTATATCTGAAAACTCAATGATGTCTCATAGAAGGCAATTCAAAAAATAAATACATTTTGGTAATTATACAACAAAATTTAACATGTTCCACAGTTTCTCAAGTGAGAACATCAGCCTAAAACATGTGTCCACTCACTGCCAAGATATTTTGGAACCGCTCATCTATAGTACAGTGTAAAAGGGAACAGTGAATCACCACTGAACAAAGTACAGAAAAACATAAATAACTTGATAAAATTTCATAAAATGCTGTTTTCTTTTCAATTTATATTAAGGATTTAGCAAATCACATAATCCTAACAGAAAACCAGTACTACTATAATATAAACTTTAAAAAAAAAAAAAAAAAAGTCCTTTAATTTATTATACTACAGTAATCTCCAGAGAAATTGTTGATGATGATGTTTGGCTATACCTATAAGATTGTAGGCATTCCCATTAGGGTGTTGGGTAAATGCTATCCACTCACCAAAAAGATATCAGCATATCCAGCCAAGGATTCCACACCCTCCTGGATGCGAGCTCCTCCTGAGTCATTAAGTCCAATTACAGGGGCTCCCACCAAAACAGCCTGGTCCATGACCTAGGGAAATAAAGACATGTTAGGAACATATTCAACCATGCTTTAAAAGCATGTGTGAGCCCTGAAAGGTAGATTTAGAGTTGTTAGAAACAGAATGTGGTACCTGCTTGATAAACATTTGTGTAACCATGAAAGTTTCCCATTTACAAAACACCGTTAAAAACGTCAGCCAAGTGAAGTCAGACAATATAGGACTTTATTTAGGATGTGCAAATTAAATTCCAACTGGAGGCAGCACTGTTTATTTGCCTCTAGATATTAATATGTTGTATACTTTATGGACTCCAAAACCTCACAACTCCAGCACGTGGAGCATGTTTCCTCCCACAGATAGACACCATAAACCTGACAGGAAGAGAATGTAAACTACCAAATTCTTGGCAAAATGTCCACAATGAAGAGGATCTGACCCATTATTTCTCACAAAGGGGTTCCCATATGGTAAAACCCTACCCTTGTTTATCCCTTTATTAAATTAACCCCTGTTTATGATATTTACCTTGCATATTTTTTGTGCATGAGCGCCAGACAAGCTGCCTCCAAACACAGTGAAATCCTGCAAGGAATTAAAGAAAATACATTAATTCACTACTTCTCTGTGAAGTTACACTTCCATTCTCTTAAGGAGAACCTGAAATAGCCACATTTAAAGGTAGATACAGAAATAAAAAGAGATATATCCCAGAATGTTCAAACATGAAAAACACTTCATCGTTAACTGTACACAATGCTTCTTATTCTGCGACTGAGTAAACTCCACCGCATCCACAGTTACCTGGCTGAAGATGTAGACGAGTCTTCCATTGATCCGGCCTTGCCCTGTAACCACACTGTCTCCAGGATACTGGTAAAAGAATCATCATAAATATATAAAAACATTACACTTTATCCAAATGTTTAACAAGACTAGTTTAGTAGAACAGAAAGATTACATTTCTCATCATATAGAGGTACATTCCTTTAAACATTAAAGGAACACTACAGGTACCCAGACCACTTCTTCCATCTTATTGAAGTGGTGTGGGTGTCATGTACCCGTGTGTTAAACATGCAGCTGAAAACATTGCCGTTCTACAGTAATGGCAATGTTTTACTTGCAGGGTTAACTTGACTCTAGTGGCTGTCTATATAACAACCACTAGAGGGGTTTTCACGAAATAGTGAAGTAAAGCTCCACTGTTTTAATCAGATGGTCTCAGAGAGATCATCTGACTGGTGCAGCCAGCGTTTTTCTGCATATGTGAACTAGCCTCCTAGTGCATTCCGATGGGAAAGCATTGGATAGGCTGAGATCATCGATCTCGATGATCTGAGCAAAAGAGGCAGAGTCGGTCTTGGAAGGTGTAGTTAACTCTCAAGAAGGTAACTTTCAACACTCGTTCTGGGTGTGGAGGATTAGGGCACTGTATCGTTAGGAAAACACAATTGTATTCCTAATGTTACAGTGTTCCCTTAAAGGAACACTAAGCACCAATGCAACTTGAGCTTAATGAAGCAGTTTTGGTGTATAGAACATGCCCCTGCAGTCTCACTGCTCAATTTTCTACCATTTAGGACTTAAATCAATTTGTTTATACAAATCTAGTCACACCTCCCTGCATGTGACTTACACAGCCTTCCTAAACATTTCCTGTAAAGAGTAATCTAATGTTTACACTTCCGTTATGCCTAAATGGCAAAGAATTGAAAAGTGAGACTGCAGAGGCATGATCTATACACCATAACTGCTTCAATAAGCCCAAGTTGAATTGGTGCTTAGCCTATCCCTCCAAGCAGCTACCATAACTCTAAAATCAGTCCATGAAAATAAGTCACCTTGGCAAACATTTCCAATGTTACAGTAGTAGTTTTCAGATGCAACTTTCCTGTAACTGCACATGCAGACACAGTTAGTTCTACAGGTTGTCTAACATTACAGATTTTTTTGAAGTCTGTCTATGGTATACAAATGGAAGTACAACAGAATAATGCGAAGGCGTTTGTGACCAAGTTTGTGTTACTAAAAGTAATGTGTAATATTAATGTGTAATATTATATTTAAACAAAAAAAACAAAAATATTGTAGAAATATTGGAGTGGAAAACATTGTTATCACCTTGTTTTGCTACTTTTACAACCTATGAAAGCGTTAATTCTATAAATAAATTTTAAAACTCTTAAACACTGGTTTTTAAAGGATCACTATAGCATTAGGAATACAAATCTGTATTCCTAATCCTATAATGCCCCCCCGCCAGCAATAGAAAAATATAACAAACTTACTTACCTTTTTCCAGCACTAAGGTTCCCTCACAGCTGCTCACCCCTCTGCCTCCCATGTCATAAATAAGGTACGGCCTTCTCTGTGTGGTCCAATCCAATGCTCCTCGTAGAGGAGCACTAGGCACCTAATGCGCATGTACAGCAAACACCAAATGTGTACCGTGTTCAAAACTTGTCCTATTTGGTCAGTGCAGCAGAAGCGCCTCTAGTGGCTATCGAACAGCCACTAGCGGTGGACTTAACCTTGCAATATAAACACTGTAGTTTGTTTAGAAAAAGAAGAAGATGGAGTGGTCTAGATTACTATAGTGTCAATTTAATAGTAGCTTGTAGATTTATTTAGCAACAGAAATTTAAAAAAAAAAAAAAAAAATGTGAAGTGCAGCTTCAAATGGCTAAATGCTGGGTGTGGGTCAACTCCAGCATGGAGTATAATTTTATTTGGCAAGTTCTGACTCTATATAACAATTAACTTAAAAAAAAAAAAAAAAAGGAACATGAAGGTGCAGCACATTACCTATATCCCATATTGATAGTGAAATGAATAGCAAAAGAGAATGCTGTGTTCATATGTAGGCATTAACACCTTACGTTAAAGTTAAAGTGGTTTTGGTGCATAGATCCTGTCCATACATTGGCTTTCAAAGGTCTTCACATTCAGTGTCATAAAGTACAAGATAAAGTGAAACCTCTGTTCATGCTTTGCATTGGATTTAATTCAGACATGAAGAAATAGCATGGGCATGCAGACAATCATGCGGTTATACAGACGATTTTTAAAAAAATTTAGGTGAAATAGGGCAAGTTTAATAGTCCAGTTTGATAAAAGGGGAAGGAGAAGATGGCACCTTGTTTTTGTCTTCCTGCATCCCAAAATCTGCGCACCTGTGCTCCACAAACATATCATATTCTGCAAAGCTTCCAGGATCCAGCAGCAGACTTATCCTCTCACGAGCAGTTAACTTTCCCTATGGTAAAACAGATCATTTTAGATTAAAATTACGCAACATTATAATTTGTAATATATAACACATTAACGATTTTAACAACATGATACAAAGGCCTAGTTAGTCTTTTCCCTGCTGTTTTATCAGTGCAGTAAAATATTTTTAACTAAAGCAATTTAATTATCAACAATTACAGATAATGTCTAAATTAAAACCAAAATCATTTTATACAAACATGTTTCTATCCCTTAACCAGCTAGAACACCATACGGTGCACTAATTTCGTAATGCCAAACTTAGCAAGACTTTACAAGTTTCATTGTACTTTTAGAATTTCCACCTGTTATTCTAGCCACATCTTTGAGACTCATGAAATCTAAGATTAGGAAATGTAGTCAGATTTTGTAATACCTAAAATTGTCTAGTCCAGGATGCTTATTGAGATCAAGTGTACTGCAGTCCACCTCTGGTAAAATGAACACATTTTTAAAAAATGTACATGCTAATAGCAATGTTTCTCAGTTATATTGCTTCACCAATAAATGTTACTTTAATGGCTCATTCACCTCTACCAACATAAACGAACCACTGCACCTTTACTTTTTTAAAACAAGCCCTTTCACCTCCAACTTCAGTAACAGAGTGTTAATTATTTAATAGTGATGTAAACTAACAACCTTAAAAGGACCACTATAGTGCCATTACTATACTGGTACTATAGTGTTAATAGGTCCCCCCCCACCCTCATGGCCCCCCTCCCGCCAGGTTGAATGGGGAGGAAGGGGTTAATATCTTACCTTTCTCCAGCACCGGGCTCCCTCGGCGCTGGGTACTCTCCTCCTCCTTCCGACGTCATCAGCTGAATGCGCATGCGCGGCCAGAGCCGCACGCGCAGTCAGTCCATGGGAAAGCATTTCTCAATGCTTTCCTATGGACGCTGGCGTCTTCTCAATGTGATTTTCACAGTGAGAAGCGCGGAAGTGCATCTAGCGGCTGTCAATGAGACAGCCACTAGAGGCTGGATTAACCCATACGTAAACATAGCAGCAGTCAGGGTTAACCCTAGATGGACCTGGCACCCAGACCACTTCATAGAGCTGAAGTGGTCTGGGTGCCTATAGTGGTCCTTTAACAGGGACACTATAGGGCAGTGATGGCTAACCTTGACACCATAAATTGTATCTGGACCACTTTTCTAATGATGCTCAGCTAGCTTTTAGAGTCTAAAAGCTAGCTGAGCATCATGGGAAATGTAGTCCAGATACAATTTATGGTGTCAAGGTTAGCCATCACTGCTATAGGGACTAGAACTGTTTTCAACTCATTCAATTGGTCACAGTGCTTGTATTTCACTGGCAGTGTCCCTCCATTTAGAGTTAAACCATTTCAATGCAAAGTAAAGATTTAATAAACATTTATATTTTTTTCAGTTTCAGACCATTTCACTAATGATACAAACAAGGCATCACTGTGCAACAGGAAAGATAAACATGACTGAGCCCTCCCACTGATCTCCCTCTAAGAATGTTGCAAGGTGAAGAAATTGCCTAACTGCACATGTGTAAATATTTCAGGCATGCCCAATGTACGTCTCCAACATTCCCTGGGATAGGACACAGATTGGTTAAATCAGTGCCACCCATGGAGTGGGTGTGGAAAGCAAAAGAAAGAAGCAGATACAAATGAAATTAAAAATAAAATAAAAATTCAGCTTGCAGAGTGAGGCAATGGTTTCACAGTTGTCTCAAACTGATGCCTGTCCTTTTAATTACGGTTGAACAAACAGAGTAAATTTTAAGTTTTGTTTTGCTTTACAACTTGGACAATTTCTTCAGTGTTAAGGGGTTAAGCCCAAACTCTACGGTTATTTATTGCTGGATTGAATACCTTTGTTTTAAGTAGCTATTGAAAACAAGGTATTTTGAATAATAAAAGAGTATTCGTAAAAAGACTAATCTGTCAAATACTTTGAGCATATCTGATAGGGCATATACGCAAGGGGCATTCCAATCTCTCTCTAAGCCTTTAGTAAAACATACAAGAATAGATCACCATTTTAGTATCATGGAGATAGTATGTAAAACTTCTGAGCCACACAGTTATCACCAAGACCCCCAATATCACCAAGCCTCCAACATACCACCAAGACCCCCAATGTTACCAATCTTCCCAGTTACCAAGACCTCCAATGTCACCAAGCCTCTCATCACCAAGACCCCCAATGTCACCAATCTTCCCAGTTACCACCAAGACCCCCAATGTCACCAATCTTCCCAGTTACCAAGACCCCCAATGTCACCAAGCCTCTCACTTACCACCAAGACCCCCAATGTCACCAAACCTCCCAGTTATCACCAAGACCCCCAATGTCACCAAACTTCTCACTTACCACCAAGACCCCCAAAGTCACCAAGCTTTACACTTACCACCAATACCCTCAATGTCACCAAGCCTCCAGCATACCAAGACCCCCAATGTTACCAAGCCTCTCACTTATCACCAAGACCCCAAATGTCACCAAGCCTCCCAGTTACCACCAAGACTCTCACTTACCAAGACCCCCAATGTCACCAAGCCTCTCACTTACCAAGACCCCCCAATGTCACCAATCTTCCCAGTTACCACCAAGACCCCCCAATGTCACCAATCTTCCCAGTTACCACCAAGACCCCCCAATGTCACCAATCTTCCCAGTTACCACCAAGACCCCCAATGTCACCAATCTTCCCAGTTACCACCAAGACCCCCAATGTCACCAATCTTCCCAGTTACCACCAAGACCCCCAATGTCACCAAGCCTCCCACTTACCACCAAGACTCCTAATATCACCAAGCCTCTCACCACCAAGACCTCCAATGTCACCAAGCCTCCCACCAAGACCCCCAATGTTACCAAGCCTCCCAGTTACTCCCAGTTACCCCTTGTTACTCCCAGTTACCCCTTGTTACTCCCAGTTACCCCTTGTTACTCCCAGTTACCCCTTGTTACTCCCAGTTACCCCTTGTTACTCCCAGTTACCCCTTGTTACTCCCAGTTACCCCCTGTTACTCCCAGTTACCCCCTGTTACTCCCAGTTACCCCCAGGTACTCCCAGTTACCCCCAGGTACTCCCAGTTACTCCCAGTTTCCCCAGGTACTCCCAGTTACCCCCAGGTACTCCCAGTTACCCCCTGTTACTCCCAGTTTCCCCAGTTACTCCCAGTTTCCCCAGTTACTCCCAGTTTCCCCAGTTACCCCCAGGTACTCCCAGTTACCTCCAGGTACTCCCAGTTACCCCCTGTTACTCCCAGTTTCCCCAGTTACTCCCAGTTTCCCCAGTTACTCCCAGTTTCCCCAGTTACTCCCAGTTTCCCCAGTTACTCCCAGTTTCCCCAGTTACCCCCAGGTACTCCCAGTTACCTCCAGGTACTCCCAGTTACCTCCAGGTACTCCCAGTTTCCCCAGGTACTCCCAGTTACCCCCTGTTACTCCCAGTTTCCCCAGGTACTCCCAGTTACCCCCTGTTACTCTCAGTTACTCCCAATGTCACTGCCAAGCCCACGAAGCCCCAGCCCTCTCCAGCTCTCACCCGCCGGTGCTGAGCCTCTATCCGCTGTTCTCCTCCGCCCAGCAGCGCTTCTCTCCGTTTTTTCTCTATCCGCTCCGGCACACTGAGGTGACTGACTGAGTAGACCCGGCACGCCGCCCGGGGAGCCCATCTTACTGGAGCCTTACTGACAGCAACCACAAGCCGAGACACACCGCGGAGAGCCGCCATGACAACGCCACACTCACTAGCCAATCAGCGAGAACCACTCTCAACAATAGGCCAATCACCAACGCGCTTACACTAGGCAGCCAATAGGAGAGCGGCACAGGACAGCCAGCCAATGAGTGCAGGAGCTACTGACAGCAGCAAAGCCCAAGGGCACTGTGAGAACGTCCGCCATGACAGTCACCGTGTTAGCCAATCAGGAACAAGAAACAAAATATAGGCCAATCATAGAACACAAACATTCACATAGGCAAATCGCAGCATCGCTCTACGGAGGGAACCAATCAGAATCTAGTATTAGGTGTATATCTGGCAAACCCTTAATAAACAACCGTTACTAAAAACAAACCCTTACTAAACAAACTCTTAATGAACAAACCTTTACTAAACAACCCTTAATAAACAACCCTTACTAAACAACCCTTACTAAACAAACCCTTACTAAAAACAAACCCTTACTAAACAAACCCTTAATGAACAAACCTTTACTAAACAAACCCTTACTAAACAAACCCTTAATGAACAAACCTTTACTAAACAAACCCTTACTAAACAACCCTTAATAAACAAACCCTTACTAAAAACAAACCCTTACTAAACAAACCCTTAATGAACAAACCTTTACTAAACAAACCCTTACTAAACAAACCCTTACTAAAAACAAACCCTTAATGAACAAACCCTTACTAAACAACCCTTACTAAACAACCCTTACTAAACAACCCTTACTAAACAAACCCTTACTAAACAAACCCTTACTAAACAACCCTTACTAAAAACAAACCCTTAATGAACAAACCCTTACTAAACAACCCTTACTAAACAAACCCTTAATAAACAACCCTTACTAAACAACCCTTACTAAACAAACCCTTACTAAACAAACCCTTACTAAAAACAAACCCTTAATGAACAAACCCTTACTAAACAACCCTTACTAAACAACCCTTACTAAACAAACCCTTACTAAACAAACCCTTACTAAACAAGCCCTTACTAAACAAACCTTTACTAAACAAACCCTTACTAAACAAGCCCTTACCAAACAAACCTTTACTAAACAAACCCTTACTAAACAAACCCTTACTAAACAAACCCTTAATGAACAAACCCTTACTAAACAAACCCTTAATAAACAACCCTTACTAAACAACCCTTACTAAACAACCCTTACTAAACAAACCCTTACTAAACAAGCCCTTACTAAACAAACCTTTACTAAACAAACCCTTACCAAACAAGCCCTTACCAAACAAACCTTTACTAAACAAACCTTTACTAAACAAACCCTTACTAAAAACAACCCTTACTAAACAAACCCTTACTAAACAAACCTTTACTAGACAAACCCTTACTAAACAAACTCTTACTAAAAACAAACCCTTACTAAACAAACCCTTAATAAACAAACCCTTACTAAAAAAAACTTAATAAACAAACCCTTACTAAAAACAACCCTTACTAAACAAACCCTTACTAAACAACCCTTACTAAACAAACCTTTACTAAACAAATCCTTACTAAACAAACCCTTACTAAAAACAAACCCTTAATGAACAAACCCTTACTAAACAACCCTTACTAAACAAACCCTTAATAAACAACCCTTACTAAACAACCCTTACTAAACAAGCCCTTTCTAAACAAACCTTTACTAAACAAACCCTTACTAAACAAGCCCTTACTAAACAAACCTTTACTAAACAAACCTTTACTAAACAAACCCTTACTAAAAACAACCCTTACTAAACAAACCCTTACTAAACAACCCTTACTAAACAAACCCTTACTAAACAAGCCCTTACTAAACAAACCCTTACTAAACAAACCCTTACTAAAAACAACCCTTACTAAACAAACCCTTACTAAACAAACCCTTACTAAACAAACCTTTACTAAACAAACCTTTACTAAACAAACCCTTACTAAACAAACTCTTACTAAAAACAAACCCTTACTAAACAAACCCTTAATAAACAAACCCTTACTAAAAAAAACCTTAATAAACAAACCCTTACTAAACAACCCTTACTAAACAAACCCTTAATAAACAACCCTTACTAAACAAACCCTTACTAAACAAACCCTTAATAAACAAACCCTTACTAAACAACCCTTACTAAACAAACCCTTAATAAACAAACCCTTACTAAACAAACCCTTAATAAATAAACCCTTAATAAACAAACCCTTAATAAACAAACCCTTACTAAACAAACCCTTACTATTATTATTATTATTATTATTGCCATTTATATAGCGCCAACAGATTCCGTAGCGCTTTACAATATTATGAGAGGAGATTTAACTATAAATAGGACAATTACAAATAAACTTACAGGAACAATTGGTTGAAGAGGACCCTGCTCAATCGAGCTTACATTCTATAGGAGGTGGGGTGTAAAACACATTAGGACAGGAATTTGCAATCAAATAAGGTGGGCTGCCCTTTTAGAGAGGGCAAGAGACAGGTATGTGAGGTAGGGGTTAGTCTTGGAGGCCATAAGCTTTCCTAAAGAGATGGGTTTTAAGGCACTTCTTAAAAGATGCAAGACTAGGGGAGAGTCTGATGGCGGGAGGCAGGCTATTCCATAGGAAGGGAGCCGCCCGCGTGAAGTCCTGCAAGCGCGAGTTGGCTGTACGGGTGCGGACAACGGACAGGAGGTGGTCACGGGCAGAGCGGAGAGACCGAGAAGGGACATACCTATGGATCTGTGAGGAGATATAAGAGGGGCTAGAGTTGTTCAGTGCTTTATAGGTGTGAGTTAGTACCTTGAATTGACTCCTATAGCACACAGGAAGCCAATGTAAGGACTGGCAGAGGGGTGAGGTGTGAGAGAACCAACTGGAGAGGAAAATCAGTCTAGCAGCAGTGTTCATTACAGACTGTAGGGGTGCAGTCCGGCTTTTGGGAAGACCAAGCAGGAGAGGGTTACAATAATCCATGCGGGAAATTACTAGAGCATGGACAAGCTCCTTGGTAGTATCTGGTGCAAGAAAGGGGCGGATGCGGGCTATGTTTTTAAGATGGAATCTACAGGATTTGGCAACATGCTGGATGTGAGGCTCAAAGGTGAGACCAGAGTCAAGTATGACACCAAGACAGCGCGCTTGCAAGGATGGGCTGATGTTGGTGCCACAAACTTGAATTGAGAGCGAAAGAGGAGGATCAGTATTAGGAGGAGGAAAGACAAGGAGCTCAGTTTTTGAGAGATTGAGTTTCAGAAAGCGGGAGGACATCCAGTCAGAGATGGAAGAAAGGCAAGCAGTGACACGTTGCAGGACAGCAGGGGAGAGGTCCGGGAGGAGAGATATAGCTGGGTGTCATCAGCGTACAGGTGGTAGTGGAAACCAAATGAGGTAATACGTTTGCCAAGAGAGGCAGTATAAAGAGAAAATAGAAGGGGACCAAGGACGGAGCCTTGGGGGACTCCAACCGAGACAGGGCGAGGGGAGGAGGTATCATTAGAAAAAGAGACACTGAATGAGCGTTGGGAGAGATAAGAGGAAAACCATGAGAGGACAGAGTCACAGAGACCAAGCGATTGCAGAGTTTGAAGAAGGAGAGCATGATCAACTAAACAACCCTTACTAAACAAACCCTTACTAAACAAACCCTTAAAAAACAACCCTTAATAAACAACCCATACTAAACAAACCCTTACTAAACAATCCCTTAATAAACAACCCTTACTAAACAAACCCCTAATAAACAAACCCTTACTAAAAACAAACCCTTACTAAACAAACCCTTAATAAACAAACCCTTACTAAAAACAAACCCTTACTAAACAACCCTTACTAAACGAACCCTTAATAAACAAACCTTTACTAAACAAACCCTTAATAAACAAGCCCTTACTAAAAACAAACCCTTACTAAACAAACCCTTAATAAACAAACCCTTACTAAAAACAAACCCTTACTAAACAAACCCTTAATAAACAAACCTTTACTAAACAAACCCCTAATAAACAAACCCTTACTAAACAACGCTTACTAAACAAACCCTTACTAAACAAACCCTTACTAAAAAAAACCTTAATAAACAAACCCTTACTAAACAACCCTTACTAAACAACCACTTAATAAACAAACCCTTACTAAACAACCCTTACTAAGGGATGCTACAAGATACTGCTTGCAATGTACACAGTTATCTCAGCATTGTGTAGGTTAAGTAAAATTCTGTACTGTAAGTGCCCACCTGCTGTTGGAGCCAGCAAGCCTAAACTTGTAGGTGCAGATCTGTAACAGGACTTCACCAGCACCAAAGCCCTGTGGACTAAAACAGTGAAAATGGCGAAATTATTGCAAGGGAATACCATTACTGGAGAATACAGCCGTTCGTATGATTTCAGACGAATTCTTTGTGTTAAGTAGGGAGGGCCGCCATTTCGGCACTTTACACGTGGCCGCGGCCATTTTACGTGCGAACAGCGGTGGTTGCCCGTCGACGCGTGGAACTAAAATCGGATACGCAAACAGGCGAACACCGCTGAGACCTCCATACAACCAGAACTTTGCACGGAAACTACCGAATCACGGGCCATTCGGTAGTTTCACTTAATCAGCTATGGGGAATCCAGCGAACTCAGAGATAGTTGTGGATGGCAAGAATTTCGTCTGTTTTAACCGGCGAACAGAGACCGACTGCAGGGCCAAAACTTGTGGAACTCTTTTCGGCTAGAAAATCCGTGCAGTCGGTCAAAACTTCAAACCTCCATAACTCCCGAACCCCATAACCGAATGGGCTGAAATTTCGACAGATAATTCCCCTAACCAAGACCTTTCAAGCGGTACTGGACTTAAAGGTGTATCCCCTGTTTTTGGGGTACATCCAGAACTAGGGTGAAAAATGGTACGTTATAATTATGTTATGTGTTTATCTGAGGGGAGGAGACGTGGGGGTGTTACCCTGTGTGTAATTGGTTATTTTCATCCTCCCCCTGGGAGTGTCCTGTGTGTACTTGTTCCTAATAAAAAGCAGGCTGGGTTTCCCAGACCTCAGATCTTCTTGACCCTGCAAAACGTAGCCTTGTCTCGTTCTTGGAAGGGGATTATTTGGGAATGTTATTCTGCTCCTGTTA